AAACCACATTTATTTTTATATTAAAGCCATGAAAGGTCACCATAGGTTCATCTTCAATTGTTTATCAGAAGGGCGAGGAGCAATGATAAACAAATGACAGAACCATCGTGAGTTGTGGCTCTGCATGCGGTGAGTGGAATCAGGGCATGTGGTAGAACTGGGGATTGTATCTTTTAGGTTTTAATGAAAAAAAGGTTTTATAGGATATATTTTGATTATTATTATTATTTTGTGAAACCCATAAGCCTATAATGTAAAATTTTCAATTAAATGTCCAATTGAAATATTTTCAAAAGCCCATATCAACAGCTGTAATTCTAAACCCACGCCTTAGTGGGTCTTGAATCTTTATTATCCTAAATCCACATCTCGATCAATTGACGTGTGGAATTTGAAAGATGGGGAAAAATAGGTTTTAAATCTTTTTCTTATCGTCTCCGAATGAAATGGGGTTTGAGGTGTAGGTTGTGTGTATTTTTATTTTTTTACTTTTTTAGATATATCATCTATTTAAAAATTTTGGCATATATAATTTACATAAATATCATTATTATACCTTGATTTTTCTAGCTTTTTTTTACTTTGCTTCCTTCTAGAATTAACATTTAAATGAATTGGTTCTTCATTTTGATTGGAGTCTACTTCTAATTTATGCGCACTAATTTGATTAGTTTCCAATGTATCGATTCATGCTTTAACCATGCTAATGTCATTATATTAACAATTTCATTTGTTTAAAAACTCAGTCAATTTTGTTCATAAAGTTGTTAAAATTTCATTCTTTTCATGTTTTTTTTAAGTATTTTGGTTATTAGCTCTATTTCTAAGTAACATTTTAACACATCCTAAATATGTGATACCAATTTGATGCGAGATGATTCAGGGTTATGGTTTCTGAATGCAAGTCATATGATTAGTAGTATGCTTTCTTGTAAGGAAGAATTGTTGATTAATAGATCTTAAGTTTTCAATTAATCCAACAACTTATTTTTTTTTAATGGATATAGAAATGAAAAAAATAGCATAGAGTTTCTGATGTAGAACCAAGTTAGCCATGGTTGGACAATTCAAAATTTGAAATTTAATTTCAGATTTTAATGTTTGGAGAGGAGGGAAGAGTTTGAATTTGAATCTTCTCCAATTAAAGGAGGGAGGAAGGGTGGGCCGATGCCTTGATGGAGATTTAATTGATTGATTAAGAGGGGTTGCTAAGTTTTGAAATTTAAATTAGGAAAGGAGATTTAGATGGAGATTTAATTGAGTGATTAAGAGGGGTTGCTAAATTTGAAAATTTAAATTATGAAAGAAAATTTAGAGTATCTCATTTTCAAAATTTAAATTAATTTGAATGGTGGGGCCTTTCCTAATTTAACCCATCTATTTAAGGAAAATAATATCAGATTTTAAAGAATTTAAAATCAGATTTTATAAACTTTGATTTTGAATTGAGAGGGAAGCAAATTCAAAATTTATGAAATTAATTTTAGCCAAAAGGGTGGAGGTAATTGGGGAATTGATGACTTAATTAGGGAGCTTTAATGGCCTACTAATTAGATGAGAGAGAGAGAGAGGAGTGGGGGCCAAGAGGGAAAGGGGAGGGGCCCACATGCATTAAAGAATATTGGAGGGGATTTAATTAAATTTTCCATCTAAGCTAACTTAAATTAAAAAAGAGAATTTAATATAAATTATCTCTCCAATTTAGATTCAAATTTAAAATGCCTTTATTGGAGGGGCTTTCCAAGTATAACTCCTATTAATTTAGGAAAGAATTTCAAATTCGGATTGAATTGAAATCTAAAATTATAACTCTCATAATTTAGATTCATCACATATGGAAAGTAACCAATTTAGGGATTTGAATTTTGGAGGCAAAGGAGGGATGATTGGGGCCAATAATTTAGGATTAGGGTTAGGGGTGGTCGGCGGCTATGAGGAAGAGGTGGGGAGGCCTTGTGACCGGCGGTTGGGAGGAGGAGAGGAGTGGTTTTGGCTTTAATGGGCCTCCTAATTAGGAAGAGGGGAAGGGGAGGAGCTCACATGTATTAAAGAAGATTGGAGGAGATTAGGGGATTTAATTGAGTTTCCAATTTTAGTCAATTTAAATTAGGAAAGAGAATTTAATATAAATTATCTCTCTAATTTAAATTCAAATTTAAAATGCCTTTATTGGAGGGGCTTTCCAAGTATAACTCCTATTAATTTAGGAAAGAATTTCAAATTCGGATTGAATTGAAATCTAAAATTATAACTCTCATAATTTAGATTCATCACATATGGAAAGTAACCAATTTAGGGATTTGAATTTTGGAGGCAAAGGAGGGATGATTGGGGCCAATAATTTAGGATTAGGGTTAGGGGTGGTCGGCGGCTATGAAGAAGAGGTGGGGAGGCCTTGTGACCGGGGGTTGGCAGGAGGAGAGGAGTGGTTTTGGCTTTAATGGGCCTCCTAATTAGGAAGAGGGGAAGGGGAGGGGCTCACATGTATTAAAGAAGATTGGAGGAGATTAGGGGATTTAATTGAGTTTCCAATTTAAGTCAATTTAAATTAGGAAAGAGAATTTAATATAAATTATCTCTCTAATTTAAATTCAAATTTAAAATGCCTTTATTGGAGGGGCTTTCCAAGTATAACTCCTATTAATTTAGGAAAGAATTTCAAATTCGGATTGAATTGAAATCTAAAATTATAACTCTCATAATTTAGATTCATCACATATGGAAAGTAACCGATTTAGGGATTTGAATTTTGGAGGCTTTGGAGGGATGATTGGGGCCAACGATTTAGGATTAGGGTTAGGGGTGGTTGGCGGCTATGAGGAAGAGGTGGGGAGGCCTTGTGACCGGCGGTTGGGAGGAGGAGAGGAGTGGTTTTGGGTGTGGGGATTCGGCCAAGAGAGAGAAGGGAGGATGGGGTTCGGCCTAGGGCTAAGGTGGGGAATTTTGGCCAAGAGAGGGAGAGAGGAGGAGGGGTCGACGGCTAGGAGGGATGGGGAAGTGGCAGAGAAGATAAACCATGAGCTCGGACGCTTCCTACGGCTAATGGGTAGTGCTTTGCCCTCACCTAGGGACTTCAAACAACGAGCCCGGACGCTTCCTGCGGCTGGTGGGTAGTACATTTTCCTCACCTAGGGACTTCAACTCTCATAAGAATTCTCAAAGCTCTTAAGAATAAGAGTGCATACTTTTTTTCTTAATAATCACCCGTCCCTCAAAAAGAAGAGAAGGGGGCTATAAATAGCCAAAATACAATAATAAGACAAATGACAAAAGTGCCCTTGGAGTCACATAGGTCTTCTCCCTCAAGTGAGAGGGTAAAAACGGAAAAATGCATAAATAAATCAAAATATAAATAATAACTCAAAATAAAGTGGTATAATCATGGTCGTCGATCTTTGACTCCTCTGATAAACTTTCACGGTCGGATGTCCTCATCAGTTTCAGCAAGAAATTGGAAGCACATAAAATAAATTCAGCAGATTAAATTGATTTCCACAAGTTTTTTAACTTGTCATTTTTTTATTAAAATTGAAAGCACTAAACAACAGTATTAAATTATGCAGAGGAAATCATAAAATGGAACAAGGAACAACTTAATAAAAATAATTAAAAAAAGCGTAGATGACCTCCACAAAATCAGGTATAGCACTCAAAGAAATTATATATTCAAGTTGCACTTAATAAAATTGAAAACTTGAAAAGTAAAAGTTTATTCAAGCCAAAATTTTTGAATTACATGCCTCAAATGACTCCTTATAGAATCCATATAAGCTAGGTTAGGAGACAAAGTTCACACAAGATCAGTTTCAATTTAAGTTTGAATTAATTTTCAGGTAAATCTTAGATATCCTAATCGACCCCAATTAAATTTAAGGTTCCTGCTCAACTGAATAGTAACTACCGTATGGTCATATAATTGCCACAAGAACCACGTGCTAATGATGCTCAGTTGCCGTAGAAGTTAAGTTGTACACTCCAATATCGCAAATCTGCACACATCTGCAATATCGGCCACAAATTACCTCAACATTCCTCCCTTATGTAAAAAAAAAAAAGAAATCGAAATCAACACTTATAATTGAATGAGTAATTTCAAACAACCACTTATAATTGAATGAACAATTCCAAACTCCATTGCCTGAACACTTAAACTGCAACCAACATAGTCCACTACAAGAAACAACTAAACCAATCCAACCTAACTATCCAACAATAACCAGTATCCTCCAATCACATCCAATGAACATATACCTTCAAATACTACGAATGTCTAATAATGCCATGCATCATAAATGAAGAAATGATACTGTCTACCATAACCTCTCAAAATTTAATGAGAATTGTCCTTAATTGAATCAAGTACTAAATTCATTACAAACATGTAACCCATCCTGACGTTAGGAAATAAGTTACAAACTTTCTTAGCCAATAAAATTCTTCTCAGCTATCAATCCATCATCATTATTTTTATCCTCCAAAATAGAAATAAAAAAAAACCAACTAATAATAAAAAAAAAAAGCAGTTCACTATAGCCTTCCCAACCTTTTATGAAAACTAACAAACACTGAAACAAGATTGAAACATTACAACCATATAACCTACATAAAGTTAGGAAATAAAATACGACATTTTTTTCCTCAATACAACCTTTCTTGACCATAATCACTAACATGCCCTCCAAAATAGAAATATCAAATAAAATAAATCAAGTAATGCAAAAAAAAAAAAAAACTGCACATTAATTAGTACTTTATGTGATGCTTCTAACTACAAAAACATGGATTTTTCCATCAACATTGTTGTTGTTGCTGTGCTTAGCCCAAAGTAATACTACAACACTCTTTTAGTTTAGAATACCAATGTTATACTTTTGGTAATCTATTGTCTAACATGCTATGTTAGACAATTTTAATGATTATAATGTTATATATAATTCAGTTTTGCATATCTATTATTGGAGGTGGTCCTACGCTGGTTTTTTTTTTTTTGTTTCATGCAGTTCTTGGAGGACTTCATCAATGGAGGTGATGTTGCATCATTCTTGGATTGCATCAGGTTAACTGCAGGACCCTTGCTGGCTCTAGCTGCTGCTATACCTCCTGCTAGGATGTCTGGTCCTGTATCTACTGGTCCCTCTCCCATTTCAAAGCAAGGAAGTTATTTGCCATCACAGGGATTTCTCCCTAATTCATCTATATCCAATGTTGTTATGCCTTTATCTCCTGCAGCTTCAACTGGAACTTCCGTTGCACCTCCTCTTAGCAGTCACAATATTCACAATGCAGCAACTCTGTCTGCTGCTGGAAGATGTGTTTCAGGAATTGTTCCCAGCTCACTGCTACCTATTGATGTCTCTGTGGTCTTGCGAGGCCCATATTGGATTCGTATCATATATCGCAAGAGGTTTTCTGTTGATATGCGCTGCTTTGCTGGAGACCAGGTTTGGTTGCAACCAGCGACGCCACCAAAGGGAGGGCCTGCCTCAGGGGGTTCATTACCCTGCCCACAGTTTAGGCCTTTTATTATGGAGCATGTTGCTCAAGGCTTGAATGCTTTGGAGCCCAATTTTCCTGCGGTTACTCATACTGGCGGGCATTTGAGTTTAAGCAATAGTCTGCAAAGTTCAGCTGCTCAGCCTCTGTCAGCTAATGGCAATCGTTCTAGTCCTGTTACTGGTGTTGGAATGCCAAGACCTGTAACAATTATTGGAAACCAGATGTCTGGCAACTTGAGTCGCGTCAGCAATAGCATGCTACCAACATCTGGGATGCCTTCAGGTATATCTGGGGTACCGATGCGAATAGCTCAAGGTACTGGAGTTCCTGTGCATGTTAGAGGGGAACTGAATACTGCTTTTATTGGGCTTGGAGATGATGGAGGTTATGGTGGTGGATGGGTCCCTCTAGCAGCTCTTAAAAAGGTTTTACGTGGCATTCTCAAGTATCTTGGTGTCTTGTGGTTGTTTGCACAGTTGCCTAATCTTCTGAAAGAGATATTGGGTTCAATCCTAAAGGATAATGAAGGAGCACTGTTAAACTTGGAGCAAGAGCAACCAGCCTTACGCTTTTTTGTTGGGTAAGTTGTGAGTTTTGTAATTCATATGTGCATGCATACTTCTGTAATGGTTCATGTGCATTTTTTTTCTAGTAGTAGTATTTAAAACGGGTATTTACCCTTTGATGCTCCTATTCTGTTTCACTGCAAATGTTTTTCATTCTCATCTAATATTTATGTTGTATTTTCTTACATCATACATCATAAACTAAGTGGTTTGTGCAATTTCTAAGTGATGCTTATTGTAAGGCTGTGTTCAACTGTTGTACTTTTCTTAATCTTGAAATACGTCTTATATTTGTTTTCATGTCTGAGATATTTTAGAGATTCGTAGGCAATTATTGGAGCTCCTACAGAAAGGGCGCACTTGAATGCTGTCATTTTAGTATCAGTTACTATGAATCTGGAGATGGATTTTTCTCCACTTATGAGAACTACGAAGTGAATTTTTGGGCCCAATATCTTAAATGACCTCAAAACTGAGATCCAACAATCAGTATGAATTTAAAGAATGAAAAGTGCTGTAGTGGTTTGATCTGACCTGACCATGTATTACGCCATTTGGGAGTTGTCTTTGCATTCAATGCATCATTATTTGAAGAGTTAATGCATAATCTAGTGCTTGTTGCAGGCTGATTGAGTTTTCGTTTGGACAGCTTTCTTACTGCTTCCTAAAGCAACTTTCTAGTTCAAGAAAATTTCGAACTAGAAAGCTGCTTTAGAAAGAAATAAGAAAGCTGCTCCAGACGAAGCCTGAATTGAGTATATAATTAGGCTCAACTGATAAATATATTGACCTAGGTTGATACCCAGTGGCTCTTGGTTGGGATTCAGTTCAGCCTTTTTAAGTGGTTTCAGGCATATCCATATATTTTCTTGAGTTGCTGATCTAGAACACTCGTAGATTTTGTAGTGGATTCCATGGGTGTGATGAGTTGGGGGTATGCAACTGAGATATATGAAAAAGGTATTTTGTATTTTGTTAGTTCTTGCTAATATAAACAAGTTGTTTCACATTGGCCATTTTCTGAGAATTCACCAAAAATAATTGTTAAGAACCAGTTTGCTTAACATTGGCAAAAGGTGTAGATCATCAAGGTGGCATAAGCCTTTATTTTGGTGTGCTAATTAGAATTTGCTTTTGGGTCATATTTACCATCTAATGGTGACCAATCAAGTTCTATCTTTCTATAAGGATCATCAAGTTCTATCTTTCTATAAGGATCATCATGGCCATAGAGCACAACATTATTTCTAGGTGGCTACAAGAACTACAATAACGGTGAGTCTCTTTAAGAAAAAGCATTAGAAATGTACCTTATAAATTCTTATTTGCCTACTCTAGGTGCAAAGGTGAAGAGATTCTAAGCGTTCAGAAAATTCATTTGCATTTTCATCTAGGATATCAACATAAATAAACCTTAACAATAAATATTGATTGTGGGGTAGATGTAGCCTTGTAGTAGTAATTGGAAGTTGATCTCCCAAACTTGCTCATTTCTGTTCAGGATGTTCATTCCCATGAAGTATTTTACCTTTTGGATTTTGCTTTGACTCCAAATTGAGGACTATCTTGATGATGGATCTCCTTCTTGCTCTTCCTCATCTTTCTCCTGTTGAGTTTGCCTTTGAATTGCTAGTCTCTTTTCTTGAATACTACCCTTAGGATATGAGAGGAGCTATTAGAGAGAGTTTTGAGAAAGGAGGGAGGGTCTCAATTAGGAAGAGAACATGTGAGGCTTCATTGGGGTACATGCTTAGAAGAGGGAGCCGTGGAAAGAGCTTCCATGTATGTTTTTACAACATGAGAGAAAGATGAAGTATTTGGAGGTGAGAAAGCATGTCTAAAAGATTAGGAATAATAGGATTATTTTAATTTAATATAATTAAAATACAAGTTTCCCTATCCTTATTTATAGAAATGAGATATTTTTTAAACTAAGTCAAAATTTAAATCAAGATAAGATAAATATATCATTATATCCTTAATTTAAAGGAAAATTGTGAAAAAAATGATTATTTCTATCTAAAAAATTGACAAGAGAATAATCCCAACTAGTGCACCATTTAAAAATTCATTTGATTGAGCATGAATTTTGACACAATTTCAAAATTTCAAACAATCAACTATTTTTGGCAAAAAACTTTAGAAATTGATTTCAGGATCATTTGAACTCCATTTCTAAAAAAATTATAGTTGAGACTTGAGACAATATGGCTCAATGAGATAATTCCAATATTATCAAGAATGCTTGGATTCAAATCCAAACGTGTCTAAATCAATTATTCATAATTGCAAATTTCTTGAGGACATTTGAGGTGTTAATTGTCTTTTAAATTTGCATACTTATGTGAAAACATGTATTTTGACAAGATGAATCCGATGAGCCTAGGATCACTCAAGTCTAAGTTCATTAATGCATTGAGATGCCCAAAAACATCATTTGATTAGAGTGTCCTTTTTCGATCCATGGATGGAGTGTGAATCTTTTATATAAATGACCAGGAAGCTTTAATAGGCCTCACAATGACAAAGAAAAACAAAAGACTAAAATGCCCCTTGGGCTACAATAGCTACCAAATACCCATAAGGGCAAAAACGGAAAAACATAAAATAAAATTAAACTACTACATAAAATGATGAAAATAAAGATTATGATCGTGGCCGTCGATCTCCGGCATCTCCTGAAGATACATGTGTCGTAATCTGATGTCCCCATCACATATACTTGAGGATCGTAGAGCTCTACCACCACATGACACACCAACATCAATATTCACATTTCCCACCACCCGACACCATCTGTCAGCCATTTAAGTTTAACACTCGCCTTACCACATGCTCGGTCTCTTCTCCTATCAAGAAAACGACAAAGCCTACTACCCATAATCATTTGATGATAACTTTGACATCGCATGCTCCTTTATTTCACCTTATAGGATATCTTCCATGGTTCATATAAGTCATATTGAATTAACGTATTCTGTAAATATGGGGAAGGGCATCTTTTGTAACAATTGACTTACAATGGTGGGATTATTTCAATCGGGGTAGCCAATTATCCTTCCCTAGTTTTCTACCAAAAAATCATATTTATTTCTTATGTGCTGCTCCCAACTCACACACACACACGCGTATGATAATGAAATTCAAATTAAGTATATATCATTGTCTTGCTTCTTCTGGATTCAATTTGGATTGGATTTTGTTATAATTTTGGGCTTGATCCAGTCCTTGTATTCCATCAACCTTTCTTTTCTAGGACACTATATCTCCTTCACGCGATTGCAAGGAGGAAATTCACCTGGATGAGGATGAACAATCCACGTATCGGTTCATTTGTAGAACTAGTTAGGGATCAATCCAAGCAGTTCAAGCCCATTTTGGGCTTGATTTGGCTGTTTTGGACGTGCATGGACAGAACAACCAAATTTGGCCTATATGGGGCTTGCTGAGCTGATCTGACATACTAGCTTAATCAAAATGAGCCAATTGAATCTGGTCTAGTCTTCTATTACTTCTATCCATAAACTTGCCTGACGAAGGATGGTTTTTGTTTTAATCCCAGCAATTAAGTTTCACGCTATCAGAGGTTTTACTGAAAAGTTGAACGGTAGCCTAATTTAAGCTGTCCTCTTACGTGTATGAGAAATCTCGTGTAAGTCATGGTTCTCCTAGAATGCTAAAAGCTCATTCATTATTTGTAACCTTTTTTCTTTCAGAATTGTTGAGTCATTTGACTAAAATTCTAAACTCTACTAGTTCAACTGAGATGCTTAACACTCACAACTGTGCTTTCCTTTGTGCAGCGGGTATGTATTTGCTGTAAGTGTCCATAGGGTCCAGCTTCTTTTGCAAGTTTTGAGCGTGAAACGTTTCCACCATCAACAGCAGCAGCAAACACAAACCAGCGCACAGGAAGAGTTTTCAGCATCTGAAACTAATGAAATATGTGACTACTTCAGCCGGCGTGTTGCTTCAGAGCCTTATGATGCTTCGAGGGTTGCATCCTTCATCACCCTCCTTACCTTGCCAATTTCAGTTCTGCGAGAATTTCTGAAGCTGATTGCCTGGAAGAAAGGTTTATCTCAGGTGCACGGTGGAGAAATAGCTTCGGCGCAGAGAGCACGGATCGAGTTGTGCTTGGAGAATCACTTGGGGTCTTCTTTTAATGAGAGCTCAGAGAATTCATCTGTGTCAAAAAGCAACATTCATCATGACCGTGCCCACAGCGCCGTCGACTTCGCTCTTACTTTTGTCCTCGACCCAGTTCATATACCCTATGTCAATGCAGCTGGTGGAGCTGCTTGGTTGCCATATTGCGTCTCAGTGAGATTAAAGTATTCATTTGGTGAGAACCCTCATATATCGTTCCTTAGAATGGATGGAAGCCATGGTGGCAGAGCTTGCTGGTCCCGTGTTGATGACTGGGAGAAATGCAAGCAGAAGTTAGCAAAGGCGGTGGATTATGCTAATGGAAATTCTCTGGGAGATATTAGCCAGGGAAGATTGAGGCTGGTTGCTGAGTCACTTCAAAGAACGTTGCAGGCCTCATTGCAACAGCTAAGAGATGGCTCTGTTTCTTCTGGCTCCTCCTTGACATAGAAGTTAGAGATCTCACCAATGGCTGAATTCATTCTAGACATTGTACAGTGTAAATTAACCATCATTGAATGTCTTGTTATAAGAACAGAGAAGCATCGTACATCAGGAAAGATGCATTAAATTCACAAGAAAAAAAAGATGGAATGATGAAATCCCAGAGTCTACGACAAGCATTGGCAGAGAATTTTATTGATTCCACAGATGATTGGAGCTATGCGACGTAAGTACCTGGGTCAGCTAAATGATATTTGTACTACACTCCTTGAAGAATAATTTAGCATTATAGAAAAGTGGGCTAGGTGTTTTTAGTTGTTTTTGTAAGATATGCCTAGTGGATTTGTAGCTGCTGCTGGATTATAGTGGTTGTAGGAACTCTTATAAACTTGGCTTCCAGCTTGCTTGCCTTCGGAATCATCATCTAAAGAAAGAGTTTGCTTTTCTAGTTCATATTGCAAGCATTTGTGTGTGTATATATGTATATGAAAGGATGGTGGGAATTTTGAGTTCTAGAAATCGATGTTTGTTGATTCATGATAAGCCAGTAAGCCACAATTGCTTGAATTTCATTTCATATCTCCCACTTCATGCCTCACACAAGGCATAAATTATAAAGTTTGTAGATTCATTCCGGCATAAATTATATCTACATATTGTATCTCCAACAAGCTGAATGTTGTTGGGCTGATTGATTGTCTTGGTAGTCAACTTTTTTTTTTTTTTAATTATCATTATTATTATTATTATTATTATTATTATTATTATTTAGTCAACATGGATCCGTGCTTGTATTCTTCTAAAGCTTATTGTGTTATTTTATTTGGTTTAGGTTTCATTTAGGACGGTTTTCTTATTGTTTTGTAAGGCTGTTTTTCAGTAAAAAAATTCTTGAAAGCAAGGAAAAAATAATATTCTAAAGTTGTCCTAAATCTAGCGGTTTGCCCTAGGTTTGTGTTAATTGGGCTTTTTAACTTACCTATCTCTAACATAAGAGAGAGAAAGAAGGCATGTCTCAGGCTCCGTTTGTGATGATTTTTTTCTTACTTTTTAATGCAAATTTTTAGCGAAAAAAACTTTTTTTAATGCTGATTTAAGTAATAAGAAAGTCGTTCCAAATGAAATCTGACGTAAGATTAGAACGATCATAAAGAGTCTTCGGTGTTTTTCTTTTTCTAAATATAGTTAATGTTAGCTTGTCATAGAGATCTAGTTGGTTATGTAGTCTAAGGCTGATTGGGTTGGGCAAAGGTATCTCTTTTGATCAATAACTTTTTTTTTTTATCAATAACTTTATTTAATAAAAAGTCTAATAATTATGATATAAATTATTTACTACATTATTATCTTACAAAATTGTTCTTGTTGGTTTAGGCAATAAAATCTTCTTATATATTAATAAACTTATTATAAATCGTCATCTTTTGATGCTTTCTTAAAATAAAAAAACAAAAGTGCGTTCACCACAGCTGCGTTTCCTGTGAAAATGATTTCCAACTTCGTCCAAATAAACTATTGGGTCAGCTTCTCAAAAAGCGGCCCAGCGCTATAAATTAACGTAACCTGCTTTGCTTAAGAGTTGACCGCAAATATGAAATAGTAAACTAACAGTTAAATAACGCGTCGGAATGATAAATAAATCCAAACAATGACCTAAAAATTTTGTTGGTTAGCAAACGGACGGATTGATCTGAGTGTTTTCATCGAGCGGCCCAATCAGATCTTTTAAGCTATTCAATTGCTTTGGCTTCGATCGAGTTACTTAATAAAACCTAATCATGGCCATCCAAGCCATCATGCATGGCTGGGATTTGCACCACGGTGATGGGAGGATATTCGGATCAAACAAAACCCTAACATTTATTGTAAAACCCTGGGGCAGGTCGCGAGATATCCCATTTTTGATTGGGCATTAGATTCCGTGTGGGGTTTATGATCTAGGGTTTCTTCTTTGGCTCTCTTCTTCTGTTTGGTATCTTCTTTGTTTTTGTTTTTTTTTCCTTTATCTTCCAGAAATGGAACTTATCAGAAGAACCGAGAGCAGAGGAATCGTTGCTGCTGCTGCCCTTGAGTCGGTTTTGAAGTCTGTGGTGATGGAAACGATTTTGGATGCTGGAAAGTCTCTCCTTTGGCTTCTATGTGTGGTAATAATCTATTTGTTCTACCTGTGCGGTTTTATTATGAACTTTTTTGTATTTTTATGTCTTGAATTAGATGCCTGTGGACTACAGTTGTGATCTTGCGTGTTGTGTTTAGATTAGACGCTCAGGATCCTGTTGCATAGGTTATTTATTTTGTGAAAGTTCTTCTCTGTGTTTTTTTTTTTTACTTTGATTGCAATAGGTAATTCTTTTTTTTCTTATGCTTTGCAAATTTTATCTTATATCAATTTTTTCTATGTAACAGTCTTGTTGTAGACCTGACTGGATGATTCTTATTACTTTCAGAGATCATTGTCGCCAATAAGCTATCAGAAAATTTATATATATACTTTTGCCCTTTGTTTACTTATATATGTGTGCTTTCTCATTTATTTCTGGAATTTAAGAATGTATGATTGACTTTTCATATCCATGGTTTGCACTATTAGATGTTAGGGCTTGTATGTAGATTTAATGGTCATTTTGTTTCTTTGTTTTTTTTTTTTTTTTTTTTGTAAGCTATGTGTTTGTTCCTCCTTTTGGATCTAAATCAAAGAATCAGATTCTGTATTTTTAGATCCCTGGGATGCTTTGGATTTGACTAAACCCACTACCTATAAATTTACAATGCCGTTTAAGGATTTTTTGTTTACAGCTGTGTTATTGTTTTTCATGGTTTTTTAAAGGTAAGATTAATAACGATTTGATGTCCAGCAGATTTGAACCTGACTCAAAATTGGTTCAAAGTCATTTTTGAGTTGAGCAAAATCAAGTTGTAGGTTTGCTTGATTTGAGTTGAACATGGTTCATTAACTTATATTCCAGCCAAAAGTTGATCGGATTTTGATTAATTTCCAATCTCTAAAAACAAATCCTTAGTTAATACATACATACATATATACACTATATTCGATTCGATCTTAGTCAAGCTTGGCTCCTAAGTTAATTCCTTGACTCATGGCTTGCATGAAAACTACAGTACTGTTATGGCCACCAGTTAATAAAGCACGCTATGGTGAAGCCTACCTATAGATCCAGCAGTCCAATAAACAACATGATGATTAAACAAGCAATACCCAAGGCATCACATGCCAATCTATAAAAATAATAAAAAAGTGTAGCAAATCCTAGTAGATAATAACTGCGAGCTTCTTTCACTTTGTCCATGTTAATTTCAAAATCAAATCAGTCCAGTCATTAGTATCATACTTCTTGTAAATAAATAAATATTATAGAAGTTAAAAATAAATGTAGAATATCTGAAAAGCCTTAATAATAACTTGTTTTTTTTTTATTTTCAATATACCATATGTATTTATCTGATTTACAAATGATTTGTAAATTTTGGACAAATTAATTATGACTAGTGTTTGTTCTTCTTCTTCTTTTTTTTAAACTGTCTATGCTGGTCCAAGCCTGGATGAAAAAAATTGTGGGAAAATTTGTCAAACAAACTTAGGCCTCCGTTGAAAAAAATTTCTAGCTCCGCCACTGCCTTGACTTCATTCCTAGAAAAGAAAAATTCCATTTTTTTTTTTTAATTTTTTTAAGCCAAATTCATAGCCCTGCTTAAAAGTTAATGTTTTACATCCACTTGAAGGTATTACCATTGGTGCTTTAGGTTGAAGAGGGTGCAAAAAATCCACATAATTGTTGTTTAGATGATTTGGTGTACAACAACCTAGTTATATTCCCTTCCTCCTTTTGGACATATACTAAGTATAACATGTGTAATCATTGCACCCTGGGGAGAGTGACTTTTGAAACAAAAAGGTTCATTTTAAATTTATTTTTGAGTGAATATGGAATATGAATTTTGAACAAAAACACACCAAGTGCTACATATACTAATGATTTATGAAAAGTCAAACATTTTGAAAATATTTGGAAGTAATCTTTTTGCACAAAAAAAAATTACTATTCATTTTATGTAAATAAAATGGTGAATAACTGAACAAATAAATTAGTGAGGAAATGCAAGCCTGAGAGGACTAGATTGGCCTTTTATCTTTTAACGGAGAACATCCTTTTTTTTTTGTTCTGGATTCATCTTTGCAGTTGTTCCATAGTCAGTTCAGAGGCGCATAGCATGCTTCCACCATAGCGCGACTAAGCAGAAATTGTGTTAAATTTACTTTCCTTAAAGAGTTTAAAAAATTGAGGCGAAAATTAGAAATTCACATTCCTTAGAGAACACAAAATTTGAGATGAAAATGAAAAGTCTAAAGATAGAAATTAGGAATAAAAAACTTTTAGCATACTAATAATGAGAAGGAAGAGCGGCAAGTTTGTAAAAGCATCTAAAGTGGGCTTAAATCATTCCAAGCTGCTAAATTCATTCCACAGTGTAAGGCCTGCTCATGTTGAATTCTTCCACTGCAAAGCTATTTTCATGACCCTTTTTATTTATTTCTTCCATAGTAAGAGCTTAATACCATCTTTTAAGCACTTTCCAAATGGCTAATTATAGCTGCATCTTTATGTCACCTATATCTACTATTTAGGACTAGAAATTTGACTTTATTTTACTATAATTTATATTTATGTCACTAGACATGTTCTATTGCTTTTCTTTATTTCACGTGGTTTGACCTTAGTGTAATTCAAACTAATTTAAGATAGATTTTCCTGCTATTTGCTGGGCCAATGAATGGTGATCCAAACTTTGAATGGCTTTAGCCGTGCATAGTTTTTGTCAATTGATTTTTATGAATGTGCTTTGAGATAGTTATACCCTGTATTGAAGTTGCTTTTTATAAAATTGAATTAATAGGTGCTTCCAAATTTGTGAATTAATTGTTCTCTTTCGAACCTATTTTTTGTTAATAGAAATTTTGCATGCATAAAACATGATCATTTATTTGTATTGCACGCCTTAAGTTTATTTGTTTCTCAACACATGAATTACACTAACTAATGTCTTTGACAAGACAAGTAATGCAAGTTACCTTTAATCTCTACAGAACCTATTTTGCTAAATTTGTGGTTATTATGCTTCATAGTATCTATTTTTTGTCTAGAAATAAGGATGTTAGAGGAATATTGTTATGATGCAGCCCTATGGATGGCTAGCTGGGAATTTAATTAGGGAAGCGTGTTTTCTATTTGATTTTTTTAATGAAATCTGCCATTGGATGTGTGTAAATGTGATACTATGAGTATGGACAAGCGGGAAGGTGATTAGACTCTTGCTGGAAGATGATTTAGATTAAACAATAGAGTTATTATGTCTCCAATTTGTAAAATCTGCTCTTCTTCAGCATGGGCTTGTATCCATGTAGTTTTATGTTTCATTCACATAATTTTTACCAAGAAGATTTATGTTTCTGAAGAAATGCTCAGGAAAAAATTCGCTAATTACAATGGATAGAAATGATCACCTTTTCAATAGTCTATTAATCTGTCATTCCACAATTCTTTAGCATTAAAATCTTTTGTCTTGCTCGTTAAAATATGCAATAGAGAAGAAAGCAGTTTTTTATGAACAAAAGGTGTCTATTCTTGAACACGGCCTACAGTTAGTTACCATTAATTAGAAATATATATTTTTTCAGGTTTGCCTTTTTATAAGCATCATCTAATATCTGGTTGCTGGTTATCAGAAGTGATAATAACCGGCTTTTTCATTTGTGTTGAATTGGATGGATTTGCTTTATGTAGCACTCAGTTGGATTGATCACTTGGTTTTTGCATATAGTAGCAACACCACTATGTTTTCTCTTATTGAGATTTTCTATTTTTGTGAAAGAAAGTGGTCAGATACAATTGACTACAACATATTTAGACTTTTAATGATTCTTTTGCTACAATATTTGGTATATCCTTTGATGGTTGAGCTTTCTTGCCTGGTAACATTTTAGTGAATTGTGAAATGACAACTATGTTATGTTACGCTGCATCTTTCTGCTTAGTAAGCTTTTTACTTGTTATGGTTACTTTGAATTCTTCTTTGGTTCATGGCATGATGTTTATGGGTCACAAATTCAAGTGTGAATTTAAGATTTTTTTATTTTTTATTTTTTGAGTGGGGGGACATTTTAATAAGATCTAACTTTGCTATCTTAAACTTTATTCTAGATTGTAGTAGTTTTAAGTTGGCAAAACATCGACAATGAGTTGTCAATGTCTACAATGGTTTCTTCGTGACTTTGCTATCTATGTTTGCCCCACCACCCCTAAATTATGTCTCTTTATCATATTGCTCTTTTTGTTATTGTTTTGATCCAAACTTATAAAATGATACAATAGTGTAGAAGTAGATTGGGTGACCAAATGGGAAAAACTTTTGTCATGGCCTGACCTATGAGCTTGAAATACTAAGGCGGGAATAGATGATTTGATGGAGTTTTAAAATACATCTACTAACATTAAATAATATCAAAATCAGTATTCATAAGTTTTCTTCTAACAACTTTCTATAGATCTAGAAAGCCATAATATGTCAATACATTGCACTAATGCCTCCACGTATGTGATGCATAAATTCTCTTCTTTCACTATTTAATTCTCAAGTTCATGTCTTGTAAATTTTTATTGAATGACAATAGTGAATTATAAACACAACTTAATGGGTAAATCATGATCCAAATAACATTTATGCATCATATAATACAAGAGAATGCTCTTGTATTATAATAACATGAATGGGAGAGTCATACTGTTTCTGGTCTTATCTATCTCATTTATATATAATACAATCATCATAGAAGCATCATCTATTATACCATTTAAGTACGTAAATATCAATATCATTTTCCGAATGTGCGAACAGACAATCATCTTATGCAAGGGTAGAAGTATCTCCAGCCTGTATGATAAGAGAGAAACTCCAATCAACATACATATGTAAGCATTGTTGTATGATTTGTTTCATTTGTATTTTTTTCATCTCAGTCAAAATAATACTCATTTGAGACATCTTTGTGTTTTCTGAAGTACACCATAATTTGTGATTTTGAGATGAATGTGCTGTCAATCTGTTATCAGAATTTTCTTTGACTTTTCTTAGATTTATTGTTGAGCGCCTTCATTTTCTGGTTTCTTAGAATACAGTTATTGGTGCAGATGGGATCTTCACGTAATGGAGCTAATTTATTTGATGACGGATGTGAGATAAGTGAAGGGTAGGGTTCATTGCCATTGAGTGCCAACTTTTGTTCAATTATGAGGTTGTTAGTACATTAAGTGTGCTTGGGTACTTATCTTTTTCGCTTCTGTATTTTTTTTTTTTGCTGCTGTTACTCTGTAGATTTCCCCTTTCATCTTTGAGAAAAATCAAAGGTGAAGCCTTGCCTGAGAACAAGGATGATGGTGAATCTGATGAGGAGGAGGAGGAGGATGAAGCTGGTGAGCAAGAAGATGATGGTGGTGAGGAAGATTACTCAGGGGATGAAGGAAATGAGGAGGAAGAGGAGGAGGAACTTGAAGCCAATGGCGGCGGAGGAAGTGAAGACGAGGATGGGGATGAGGATGATGAAGATGAGGATGAGGATGGGGATGATGAAGATGATGAAGAGGATGCCGAGGAAGAAGAAGATGATGAAGATCAGCCACCCCCTAAGAAGAGCAAGTAAGTTTATCTTTGTGTTTGAAGTGGCTTCACTCTTGAATTTTCCCGTGTGCAAGGTTTGTCATTGTTATTGTGGCTGTTAGATTAATGTTTAGAGGGCTGCCTTAGAATAGGTAAACAGACTACATTTTGAAATGATACTTTAACTATCTGACTTCTTTGTAGTTTTATGATTCTAAGAGACTTTGGTAATGGATGCATGCTGGCTTGTTTTTGGAGTTTTGCCAATCTTGAGGTTCTAATTTTGGTATGCCCAAATTTCTATCTTGAAACAAAATTTATATTTGTTATGAGCTACTAACTATCATGTAAACTAATCTTTGAGAAATTTTTGATTGATCTTTATATAATTTTTATATTAGTTATTATAGGGTTCCACAATCTTCACAAAAAATAGATGTCTATTGACAACTTTAGCTTTTTTACTATTTTTTAAAGCAACTTTTTAGTACGAAAGTTTTAATTTTTGTTCAAAAATGCTGCTTCAGAAAGTAGTAAGAAAACCGTCCCAAACGAAGCCTTAAACTTGATCCTTCTTCTGAGTTATGACCTGTTCAACATGTCTTTGGAGAATTGAATCCTCCCCAACAATATTTTGCATGAAATAATTTTATTGGAATATTTTCAACTCAGTCTCAATTGCTTTGCTATTTGCTCTCAATGCCACAAAGCATCATCCCTCATGGATGAAGCTCCTAAAGCTGAAACTTTAGGTTTCGTTTGATACAACTTTCTTACCGCTTTCTAAAGCAGCTTTTTAGTACAAAAATATCGGGTTCCAAAAAATTTTGTATTAGAAAATGATAGTAAAACTATACCAAACGAAGCCTTAGAAGACGAATGCTTAATCTGCTGTAATTTATACCTAACGTGTAAAATTTTATATATATTTATATAGCATATTAATCTTTAAATCATATCAAATATGTCATTAAAATTGATTTATTAAAATATAATATAAAGATTTAGATTTTAGATTGTAATTTATAAAGAAATGAGATATTAGTAGTGTGTATTTAGGCTCATTTATAATAAAATATGCTTATCTCATACATATTATTATAAAAATATTTTTCAAATATATAATGGTTTTATTTTGTATAGCTTTCTTTCTGCTTTTGAAAATAATTTTTAGCAAAAAAAATTTAAATTAAAAATTTGTGCATTAAAAAATTATTTTAAAAAATAATAAAAAAAGCTATCCCAAAGTAAGCCAATATCTCAATAAAATCAATCATATGAGAAGATATTATGAATCCAAAATCACAATCACACTTAAAAAATTGTTTAATTTTAATATTTTTGATAATAAATGAATGGACTACATTGACTGTTCTAAATTATAGCTTCATTTCATGATTACAAGATGTTATAATCACCCCATGTATGTATAAGCAACTCATTTTTTATGCAGAAAATTTTTTATTCAAAAAAGATCTATCCCTTTATATTGTCATTTCATTCAACCAAGCAGATACGCTCCATCCTTCATTATGCAATAAACAGGTAATAATAACCACCCATTGAACGAGTTGGCAGCAGGTCACTAGATATAACCTGCGAAACACGACAGGCTTTGTCCACAAATCATTCATCATAATAATTTTTTTTTTTTTTTTTTTATGTGGTGAAGGATAAATGTCGTGTCAGGATATTTCACAATGGGAGCTACTGATGCCACTCATTAGTTATCCAGGTTATACCACTCATTTTAATGATTTTAAATTGAGAGAATAATGAAAGAGATCTGTGAAGGAGAAAGACGGAAGCAAATAATATTTTAAATTTCGGTTCTATTTGATATAATTTTATTACTATTTTATTTTTAAGCAGCAATCATATTTTTATTTGAATATTATTTTTTTTTGGCTTTCTCACTACTTTTCATAATTTTTTATGATGAAAAATTATTTTATGCAGTCATATAGTAATCAAGTTGTCTCAATAACTTCTCAACCAACTTTTTAAAATGCTGCAACAGTCTCAAATAAACCTTCAATTAGGGGTGTCAATTCGGGTCAACAGGTCGGGTTCGAGTCAAACTCGAAACTGACACGGTACTGTTCGGGTCAACTCGAACCCGACCCATTTTTAAAAACGGGTCAAGTTTCCGGACCCAAACCCGATCTGACACGAATGACCCAAAGTTGATCTAAAATTGCTAGTTTTCGAGTCAAAATCTGGTCAATCTTCGATTTTCGGGTCAAAACGGGTCAATCTCGAGTTTCCGAGTCAAATAGGAATTTTCGTGTCAATTTCGGGTCATTTTCGGGTTGTTGGGTCAACCCGAACCGGACCCAATTTTTAAAACGAATTGAGTTGTTGAACCCGAACCCGACCCGTTTCGGGTCCGAGTTGACCCTAACCCGGATTTTTCCGTATCCGGTTCGGGTCGTGTCAAAAATTGACACCCTTACCTTCAATCATAGTTAAATTTATTATTCTGAAAAAAATTAAGATAAAATACAATATATTAGTTAATTGATATATTATCTTCATTTGATTAGCTGGACCAATCAAGTATCAATAGTCTAAGTACTCAGGTATGATAATAATGGCATAATGTTTTAAACAAGACTACCATTGGAGTGGAGAATATGTATAAGATTCCAAACTTCAATTATTTTGATTTTTTTTCATGCCAATGTTTGAAAAGGATGGATGAACTAATAAACATGGTGGTGATGGTTAATGTAGACAAAAATTGCTTTTCAATGCTGGGTAAGGTGAGATATGAGTGATGGAAATGCACTCATATTGTCATTCTCATTTCTCTTGCTTATCCTTTCATTTTTCGTAGTATTTTTTTCTCGAGCAATATATATCGTAAATTAGGGTTAATTCAGATCTTTCAAAAAACAAAAAAGTCTTATGAGTGAGTGTGAGGAAAAAAAAACAAACAACAACATCAAGCCTTCTTTATACCACTATGTGGGGTCGGCTATATGAATCATTTTTCTCCGTTATGTTCAGTTAAGAGTCAAATTCAAAAATGTCATGTGCGTATTGTATATAGTTGTCTACATGTACAAAGTTAATGTGGTTGTTATACGAACTTGTGTATGATATCCCAATGAATTGTCCGTATGTATTCATATATATATTTACACACTGTTATTTGCATCTCATCACAACAACAACAAGCCTTTATGCCACTATGTGTCGTCAACTACATGAATTTTTTTTCTCCATTGTGTTATATAAAGAGTCAAATTCTTATCTGAATCTAAAAAAGAAATGCCATTTATAATATTTTCTTACCTAGTCTTTTTAGGTTTGTCTCTACCTTTCTTAACATAAGTCAAATATATACATCTAATTTCTTAATCAGATCATTGGGAGGCTGCCATTTATCTGACCAAATCATCTAAGGCGACTCTCTCTAATCTTATCTTCCATTGGAGCTACTCCGACCTTTTCACATATATGCTCATTTTGTATACTATCTCTATGAGTAAAGCCGCTCATCCACCTGAGCATCCTCTTCTCTGCAACACTTAATATCATGCTTCTCTTTTATGCGTCTCATCACTATTAGGGTGAAATATGCACCCCTAAGAGAATATACATATAAAGCTTTTATAATTGTTAGATTTGAATTTTTTTTATGAATAATAATAGTAATAAAGTTATTTCTTTAAGATTTTGATTGAGTGGGATGGGCACATCCTTATCACTATCGACCAAATTATATCTATTTAGCCACCGGAAAACAACATGAATTTGATCATTGTTCTAGCAACTTCATTTTATAATTAAGTGTTTTTTGTAAGGCTTCTGGATCATTTGAGATGGCTATAATTATCTATAAATTTAATTTTGAAATTATTATGAAAAAAATAAAACTTCTTAATATATTTTGATTTTATGTATTTCTACTTCTTAAAAAGAGTTAATAATGAATTTTTTATAATCACCACACTACGATTATGAAATTCTTTCTCACAAAGAAATTTATCATAAATTAGCTAAAAATAATATAGTTAAATAAAAATATGATTATGATTTATTAAAAATAATAATAAAGGCTAAACGGTTGTGAATGAGCCAAGCAATGAAGTATTTATTAAGGCGAACTTAGACTAGTAGAAGTAGATCAAGCATGATAAACGTTTAAAGCAATCCTACCTACCCACAACATTCAAGTTGTCAAATGATCAGTACCGTTTGATTCTGATTCTAATTATCAACCATAATTACTTTCATTTTTGAGAAATGGGAAATATGTACTCTCTTTGTTATATAAATATATATCATAATAATCTTTGAATGGATGATTGTTTGAGTGTTTTAGGTCCTTTGGATTCATTATGGCATCAATAAATTTACGGTGATGAGTTTGGAGAAACCATTATGTGCTGTCACCGGACCGTTAGGAGGCGAATCAAAATGCGCCACGTCATCCGATACACAATGGTATAAAGTACTGCATACATTGACTGCACAGAATAATCGATCATGAGTTTGACAGTTTGTTTGAGAAAATTTTCTGACTGTTTTACTTTTCAAATCGCAATCATAATTTCATTTTATTGCTATGTTATTGTAATTTTTTTTAAAAAAAATTATGATAGGAAGCTACTATTTTCAATCATAATGACAAAGTTATTTTCATCACAATAAGTACAAAATCAACTTTTTAAAATATTTCAATGTTGCAAATATGCCTATAATATCTAAGAATGTAAATGATAAATTTCAATTATCTTGTTAACTTATAAATTTAATTCAATTTAAATAAAAGATTATATTTCACGGGACAATCATTATACTTCTAAAATAAATTATAATTAAATTTAAAAGTGCTTTAGGATTTAATTAAAACTAATAATATTATATATTTTTTATTTTTATTCACACGCCAAAAATAATTTATATTTATTTAAGGATTTATAATGTCTTCTTCATCCACATTTTTATTCTTTTATTTTCTCCGACTATTCTCACAGTCCAAGACGCTGTGACCATCCCGTAAGACAGAGGAGCTATATAAGCTGCCGAGAGAAGTGTAGGCGCTCGAAACCCTCAGACCTCTTGCTCTCTCATTCTCTCCGGTGATTTTAGCGCGGGCAGTGGTGACAGGCCGGCGGTGGCGAGGGTATCTGTGGTAGACTTGTGAGGAGCTATAAATGGGAGAAGCGATTGTTTCAGATCTCCTCACTGAGATCCTAATCCCGGTGGCGGCCGTCATCGGGATCGCCTTTGCCCTCGTTCAGTGGCTGTTTGTCTCCAAGGTGAAGGTTGTGCCTGAGCGGCAGGGTGTTCCATCGTCGAACAATAATAACGGCTTGGATGACTATTTACTCGCTGAGGAGGAAGAGGGTGGGAACGAGCACACCGTCGCTGTCAAGTGCGCCGAAATCCAGAACGCTATCTCGGAAGGTTGTTTAATTTTAAACTAGATCTATGATTTTTATATAGCTGCTAAGAGGTTTTGCTCGTTCCATTGTAAGATCTGACGGTTTGAGCTTTCGGCGCGGCGCCCCAATTGTCATCTATATGCTCTGTTTTGTTTATAAGTATTTAAATTTGCCCAATTTTCGCTTTGGGTGACGTAGTATATTTTTATTGGCCGTTCGATGATTTGATTCCATCATCTATGCAGAATAAGGGCGGAAGATTTAGCTAATTTTCTTAGTGGTTTGCGAGCTGTGTCTTAATAATTAACGTGATATAAAATAATACTGCTATTGCATATCCAATGAAACACTCGAACAGTGAACTAAATCTAATCTTCTTTCCTTTTGCGGGGATTCCAAATAGCTCTGGTCAGCACTGATTCTTCTTTGACCTGTACACTTCTTAATACTGGCTTATTTTTGGCTTCTCGTGTCAAAAATGGAAGATTCGATGGTTCATGGTGGTCCTTGTGAGCTTTCGGTATATATATATATATATTATTTTTATTTCAAGACTTACTTTCTTTGGTGTCTCATGAGAACTTGCAAAGTTGCAAGATTGTTTGGTATGATGTGCAAATATTAGAGATTCAATTTCTTGGGACTTTTGTTCTTCTATATCAGCCAAGATAGCCTCTCTCGGTTGAGATTCGGCTGAATAAGCTGCCTTACTGCTATTTTATAGACTTCTGCATTAACTCATTTTAAAATGTGTGAGTGAGCTGGTCATCCTCTCCTTTTACTATTAAGTATTAACTTTCTATTGAGTGGTCTGAAAAGTATGTAATTGGCTTAATTTTCTTTTTTATATTTATGGTGCAAGCCATATGCTTTGTCCTGTACATTTAGGGAAAGATCTGACGCTATGACCCTCAGCTTTTTTATCCTTTCGGCACTGTTTTGGCCTATGGAAAAAATACAGAGCTAGTGGCGTATTATAGATTTTAAATGGCCAGTTTGTGTTAATATAGCTGTCCTTTTCTTTGGGCAATTATCCAAATTTTGATTGAAATATATTTTGTTGTCAAATGTTTGTGTCGTTTTATAAGCTACTAATGCTTTTGAGGTGCTTCAAATATTGCATATATCACTTGAACGTGCTGCTTATCCTTGTTTGGTAGTAAGATAATTGCAAATCTTATCTACGATTGACTGAATTTTTTTTGGCGATTTGGTCTATTTATTTGCAACTGAGTTATGAATGTAGATCTACCCACCTTATACTTCTTTCGAATTGAAAGGCTCGGCTCGTTAAGATGTCATTTGCACTGATCATTTATATTATGATTCTTCAATTCTGCTATTGATAAGCTAATTTGCAAGGTTTATTTTGATTGCCTCTTACATTCATGAGGGTTGCAAGGTAGAATGTAGTGGATCGGCGGAAGAATCGAACATGCTAGAAGGAATTCCCAATCCAGAAAACATGTAGCAAACTAATAAACTATTTCTAAGAAAAATTTTAGCTAAGATGTTCCACATCATACTCCCCTTACGTCAGAAGAGCTCGACTCTGTCTAGACGCGTCATCGGGATCGCTGATCTGATCGCAAGAGGAAGCGAAGGTGGATTCATGGTGAACGATGGCAGTTTGATTGCGACTTTATCCCATGCTGGAGCTGGGGAGAGGAGAGAAGGCGAAGCAGAGCTAATTAGTTGTGCGTGTGTACTGGAGGAGACTAGTGTTGAGCTGGGAGTGCCAGGCGAACCTGATGATTGGATACGCGGGAGCGGTATGTGAGCAGAAGAAGGGAGTGAAGGAGTTTGGAGTGGTGAATCGTACGAGAGCGGATCTGGTCGGGATATGGCATTCTTGAGTGGAGGCGAGTCTCAGATGAAGGCCGCGAGATGGTTGCAGACTGTGCGATCGGGCTGAGGATCTTGCCAGGAAGTTGGAGAGGAGCGAAGTCGTGGACGACGCGTTTGCGTGAAGCATTGGCAATGGGTTGCTGGTCGGGTAAGGGATCCCACCATCGGAGTGGAAGTTGGAGCGATGAGGAGTCGCGGACGACGTGTTCACATGAAGCATTGGCAGAGGTCGCTTGTCGGGCAATGAATCTCGCCATTGGAGTGGAAGTTGGAGCGGAGGATAGTCGTCGACCATCTTCTTTGGCGTCGATTGCCATCAAACACCCATCTTATTCTGCGTCGATCTTTGTCGACCGCTCATTTTCTTCGGCTTCGATCGTCATCGAAAGCTCATCTTCTTCAGCAGTCCATCATTCTTTACAAGCTCCAGCCTCTAATACAACTGATGTAGTGGATCGGCTGAAGAAACGGACCTGCTAGAAGAAATTCTTAATCCATGGAACAAACACAAGCTCTAAGCTTCAAAGAGTTTATAATTCATCAATACCTTTTTCCTACTACAATACTAACATATATAAACTAGTCACATAACATTTTAAACTTTATGTGTAACAAACATGTAACAAACTAATAAATTGTTCCTAAGAAAAATTTTAGCTAAGATGTTCCACATCATAGAACTTGATAACTATTTACCCTTGTAATTTCATTTGAATGGTGTCTGAGATATAACTTGACTTGACAATCATTTTCTCTTGGAATTTCATCTGAATGGCCTCGTGACAGATAGGTGTAATATTAAGAATATGAGTTTTATGGCATGGAAATTTATTCATTCAAAAGAAAAATGATTAATTCATGCATTTCATCTGCTTCTTTTTGTATTTTTATAACTCATATTATGATTTTTGTGTTGCTCATTCAATGTGATTTGGAAAATTCTAATGCTAGACCATCCATGTGATAACGTGCAACAGGAGCTACTTCCTTCCTGTTTACTGAGTATCAGTATGTTGGGATCTTTATGGTGGCTTTTGCTGTTTTGATATTTCTCTTCCTTGGCTCTGTGGAAGGATTTAGCACAAGGGAACAACCTTGTACCTACAGCAAGGATAAATCTTGCAAACCGGCCCTTTTCAATGCCATCTTTAGCACTGTTGCCTTCTTGTTGGGTGCAGTCACCTCTGTGGTTTCTGGCTTTCTAGGGATGAAAATTGCCACCTTTGCAAATGCTAGGACAACTCTAGAGGCAAGGAAGGGCGTGGGAAAGGCTTTCATTACTGCATTCAGATCTGGAGCAGTTATGGGCTTTTTACTGGCTGCAAATGGACTTTTGGTGCTATACATTTCAATTAATCTGTTCAAGCTGTACTATGCTGATGATTGGGAGGGTCTTTTTGAGGCAATCACTGGATACGGCCTTGGTGGCTCTTCAATGGCTCTCTTTGGTAGAGTTGGAGGTGGTATCTACACAAAAGCTGCTGATGTTGGTGCTGATCTCGTTGGTAAAGTTGAGAGGAACATTCCAGAAGATGATCCTAGGAATCCAGCTGTGAGTCTTTCCTGTTAATTTTAAGGGTCTAAGATAATTGTGCTTGCCAGAAGCATAAACGTTTATCATGACTTTTTGAAATGTCAAACAGGTAATTGCTGACAATGTGGGAGATAATGTTGGTGATATTGCTGGGATGGGTTCAGACCTTTTTGGTTCATATGCCGAGTCTTCCTGTGCTGCTCTTGTTGTTGCTTCTATTTCTTCCTTTGGAGTTAATCATGACTTCACTGGGATGTGCTACCCACTGTTGATTAGTTCTATGGGCATTATTGTTTGCTTGATCACAACTCTTTTTGCAACCGATTTCTTTGAGATAAAGGCTGTTAAGGAGATTGAACCTGCTCTTAAGAGGCAGCTAATAATCTCCACTGCACTAATGACCGTTGGGATTGCAATTGTTAGTTGGTTGGCCCTTCCATCTTCATTCACTATCTTTAATTTTGGTACCCAAAAGGAAGTGAAAAATTGGTAGGGATGCAACAATTTTATTTTCTGATGTTTGGACTAGATGATTACAAATTGTGTAATCTCTTTGGAACTTGCAGGGAATTGTTCTTCTGTGTTGCAATTGGCCTCTGGGCTGGCCTTGTGATTGGATTCGTTACTGAATACTACACCAGCAATGCATACAGGCAGATTATCTTTTGTGTTTTTTTATGATTTGCTTTGACTTACTATGGCCTTTGTTGAGCTATCTTATTTTGTTCTTTTACTGTTCTCACAGCCCTGTGCAAGATGTTGCTGATTCCTGTAGAACTGGTGCTGCTACAAATGTTATTTTTGGACTTGCTTTGGGATACAAATCAGTCATAATTCCAATTTTTGCCATTGCCGTTAGCATTTTCGTCAGCTTTAGTCTTGCAGCCATGTATGGTATTGCAGTTGCTGCTCTTGGTATGCTGAGCACCATCGCCACAGGATTGGCTATTGATGCCTATGGTCCCATCAGTGACAATGCTGGAGGCATTGCTGAAATGGCTGGAATGAGCCACAAAGTTCGTGAGAGGACTGATGCCCTTGATGCTGCAGGAAATACAACCGCTGCCATTGGAAAGGTATTTATGTTAGTAGCTTTCCAATTCTTATTATTGTTCTCAGATTGCTATTAACTTACAATCACTGAAATTTTGCAATACCAATGTGCTATGTTACTGACAGATTTTCTCTTGATTGTTTGTTTACACTAAAATTTTGGCTTGGACTTTATTTTATCACTTTGCTTTGTTCAACTTCCAGGGTTTTGCCATTGGTTCGGCTGCTTTAGTTTCTCTTGCTCTCTTCGGCGCCTTCGTGAGCAGGGCAGCTATTTCTAAAGTTGATGTTCTGACCCCAAAAGTCTTCATTGGGTTGATCGTTGGTGCCATGCTGCCTTACTGGTTCTCAGCCATGACCATGAAAAGCGTCGGCAGTGCAGCTCTTAAGATGGTCGAGGAAGTTCGCCGGCAGTTTAACACCATTCCTGGTTTATTGGAGGGCACTACCAAGCCTGACTATGCAACCTGTGTCAAGATTTCAACAGATGCCTCTATTAAGGAGATGATACCTCCTGGTGCTCTGGTCATGCTTACACCCCTTATTGTTGGCACCTTCTTTGGTGTGGAAACCCTATCTGGAGTTCTCGCTGGTTCTCTCGTCTCTGGTGTTCAGGTAAATGGCAAAATTTTCTTTTTTTTTTTTTAATTTTATTTTACTATTGTGACCATAATGTCATGTCATGATTATTCAACAAGTTTTACGCTGGCTGTCGACTACCTAAGATTAGAGAGTGTCGCCTTAGATGGTTTGGTCACATTAAACATAGGTCTTCTGATGACCCGGTTAGGAAAGTTGAGGCATTAAATTCGACTTATGTTAAGAAAGGTATAGGTAGACCTAAAAAGACTTGATTAGAAAATATTAAAAATGATCTTTCTTTATTAGATTTTAATGAGAATTTGACTTTTAACCGGACACAACGGCGAAAAAGGATTCATGTAGCCGACCCCACATAGTGTGACAAAGGCTTGACGTTGTTGTTGTACTATTGTGACCATAATGATTAAGCTTATTATGATTGGGATTTTTCTTCTATTCAATAATGAACTAAACAAACTATTCTCGAGTGATTACCATTAATCTGTTCTGCAGATTGCCATCTCTGCATCAAATACAGGTGGTGCTTGGGACAATGCTAAGAAATACATCGAGGTATGTTTTTCAATATTTAGGGTTTGAGCTTTTACCCTTTCCATTCAACGAACGAGGAGTTACTGTGTGCGGAATCCGAATGCATTCGGATTTTAATCACCATGCGCCACATCATTGAATGCACTGGGCCCCGAAGTGCATGTGGTGATTGGAATCCGAATGCATTCGCAATAATTTTTCTCAACGAACATGAGAGATTTCTTGCTTATAGGCTGGCGTTTCGGAGCATGCCAAGTCTTTAGGCCCAAAGGGTTCTGACCCTCACAAAGCAGCTGTAATTGGAGACACCATTGGTGACCCTCTCAAGGACACTTCTGGGCCGTCTCTTAATATCCTGATAAAGCTAATGGCGGTTGAATCGCTGGTCTTCGCACCCTTCTTTGCTACTCATGGTGGTCTTCTTTTCAAGATCTTCTGATACAAAAGTGCAGCAGATATTGCAACGCCTCTATATCCGGTTCTGTTTTCTAATTGAGCTCTGCAAATCCCGTTTTGGTTTACAGTGATGCAGAAATTTTCCCCTATAAGTTTTAGATAGACTGTTACTATAATATGCTGTTAATTACTCCTCAATCTTGTTCTCAAGCTGTTCGTGCTTCCTGAATGCTTATTTGGTTGTTGTACCCCTTCATCTTTTGTTTTACTTGATTGGAAAAACTGTGATCTTGCCTTTGAATGAATGACATTCATATCACAGAATCAAAATTTTACCCTACAAGTTTAGATATATTATTACAATAATATTTCTCTATGTTATTCTTACTGTTTTTTAAAATAATTTTATAATACAAAAAATAGCTTTTTGATATAAAAATTTTAAATTTTGTATTAGAAAGTTATTTTGAATAATAGGAAGATAGTCATCCCAAACATAACCTAAGGCTTGTTTTACCACCATCATCTTGTTTTACTTAAATATGTGAACATCTTTATTTAGAAATAATTCATAAAAAATTGTAATAAAAAAAAAATATAAGACATTCAATAAATAAACATAAAACAAGTAACCAAATGTATAGAATTTATGTGACATAAAAAATCAATCTGATCGGGCATGAATCTCAATATATATTTGAATTGAAAATTAATGGAATTACTTGCATTAAGGATTATCTAAAGTCTAATTTGAGCAAACTTATACTCAAAATTGAATGTCTCAATGAAACTAATTCATTGACGACAAAAGTGATCTGGTCCGACATTAAATCAAGAACTTGAAGTATAATTGAAAATTTTATGAAATTAATTGAAGGAAATGGTCACCAATTCTCACCTGCTTATAATCAAGTTGAATGTCTTGATAAGAGTCAAATGAACACAAAATTGATTAATTCAGACATCAATAAGGAAATTAAATGATAAAAGAACAATCTATAATTGAGAAAAACAATCAATTAGAATATTCTAAATTTTAGCTATATTTATGGGGTACATTACTGTTAAAAATTTATAAATAAGCACTCACTTTCTACATGACGGTGACTTGGATCATTGGATTGAGATTCAATAGAGCTTATAGACTTGAAGAATACCAAACATCACCGTTGACCGACCACCACCATTTGATTGCCTTATCAAACCACTATTAATGGACTACCACCAATAGACCACTATCTTCCATCTTCCACCATCTAATCACCACCGTTAAACCTCTACCAACAGATCACCGTTATCTAACATCCGCTCTCTGATCACTAAATATAATCATTTGACCATCATCGCTCGACTATGATCCCCCAAACATCATTGCCCGGCTATGTTGCTCTAGCCTTCGTCACCCTCTCCGACCACCTTCGCACAACTATAATCAATTGACCAACATCGGCCGACAACAATCCTCCCCATCTACGCTCACTATGATACTTTAATCATTGTTGCTTGATTATGATCCTCCAACCACCACTACCCAACTACTATCTACTGACTACCGTCATGCAACTATGATCACATGATCATCATTTCCTAATCATAATCCTCTACTATTATTGTCCAACTACACAGATGCCCCATGCCCGTTGAATTTGTTGCCCACCATGTCTAATAGCTTTGACACACATAAACACCTATAAGACCGATGCACTCCGTTGACTTCTTAATCTCTAATTTTCTCTAGTCAAATGAGAAAAACAAAACAAACAACAAACCATCTCTTGAAAGTAGCTCTCATGCCACGAAGCTCTTCCAACTTTTTCAATATGATTCATTTTGTATAGTTTATATCTACTATATTATATATTTATATCAATGCATTCCACGATAAGAGAAAAATGTATCATTTTTATCCATTCTCTACCTTTTAACCACATCTCATGTAACATCTTAACACGAGATAAGAAAAAATAAAATATAATAAAATGATGACTATTAAAAAGAAAAAAAAAACTTCCTTAAACTCACAAAATGCTTCAAAAGAATAAAATAGTAAGACAATGAGAATGATTTTGACTCTCTAATTTCTATCATAAATATGATAGAGAGACAATAAATAACCAGTAAATTAAGATATTGTATCAATAAGATCATATTGGTAGATATTAAGCATATATATTACCATATGAAAATCTTATTACATCAACATGGTAAAGGGGACAAAACAAGTTTATCCGACCAATTATTACAAAGGAAAACTTTCTTAACATAGTAGACCAACTAGATAGAAGAACAATTTTACAGTAAATATATTTCAATTTAAATTTGATCATCATAAATTTTATAATTATTAATTTATTTTAAGATGAGTGTAATATAAATTATAAATAATTATTTATATATAACACTCATCTAAAAATAAGTCAATAATTATAAAATTTATTTTGATTAAATTTAAATTAAAATATCCTTGAATTTTCTCCCTTAGGAGAAATAATTATGTGCGGACACTGGACGGAGAGAACCATCATATTTGTCTCTGTGAACAGTAAATCTACTATAGCTCAATGCGCTTTTACTATTCACAGAGACAAAATCAGACGATTCTCTCCGTCCGGTGTCTGCACAAAATAATCTCTCCTTATTTAGACCTTTGCAAAGTCAATGGCCCTCTTTCCTTGTGCAAAGTTTTCAAATAATTCATTAAGGTAGCTCTTAATAAGTACCTTTTTGTACAATCTTGGCCTTTCTTCATCCACCAGGTTATTTGCTGGCTCTATATATTTTTCATTATTAACAGAATAAAACATGACCACAGATATCCTTTCCTGAGAATTTGTCACCACTCTATGCATTGGGCTTTTAAAAATTCCATTGCTCATAATCTGCAAGACCGCTCGTTTCATTAGAAAAAAAAAATACAAGTTTTTTACATGTAAAAAATATTAATAATATAAAATGAATTGAAAAATGACTTGGAATATTAATTTTATTCATAATGATACTAATAAACCAAATAAATTTCTGAAACTCACAACAACAATTTCTTTGCAAAACAAATAAAGAACATTGAAGCAGAACACAGCACAAATCACTCTTAAGGCTCTAAGTATTTATCATAAGGCAACAAATACACAGTTGTTAATGCAAAGGTTCGTTCACCATCCAAACTCTAAAAACTCTAAGGGGCTGTTTGGTAGCAGGATTTAGGCCGAACTTGAGCGAAATCCAGCCAAACGGCCTAAAATGCAAAACCAAATCTTACGGCAAATGAAAACCGCGCATATGAAAAATTCTGCCTTTTTGTGCTAAATTCCGGATTTCTGAAATCTTATTTTTTGCCGTATTTATGAAATCCGTTGGCGCAAGAGAAAGAGTCCACTCGTTAAATCCGTTATATAGCCAAACAGTCAAACGGGGGATGTAATATGATTTATCATGAATGTTACCACTTACCAAACACAGTTTTCAGGATTTTCGAAATTCGGATTTCACGGATTTACGAAATCCTACTTAAATCAAATCCTGTGAGCTACCAAACCGCTCATAAAACTTTTTTAATTATTATAGGGATAAAGTGACTGAAAAAATAGCAATCAAGTTAATTACCTCCATCTGATCTCCCAAGTTGAGAAGCAAAGCATTTGGGACAGTGGGGACTGTATACCATTCACCATCTTTAAGTACTTGCAATCCATCCACACTTTTGTCCAGCAACAGAAGTGTAATAGCTGAACCATCAGTATGAGGTTTCATACCAATCACTGCATCAGAGCTAGGACAAGCTGGGTAGTAAGTAAATCTTACAAACGCAGTACCATCTTCTCCAATTTGATCAGCGAAGTAGTTTTCTTCCAGTTCCAACACCCTTGCAATCGCCTTTAGAACATTGTCGGCAATCTTCCTTGTTTTAATGGAATATTCATGTAACAAACTCCTACAATGAGAAAAAATGAAAGAATTGTCTTACTTCAGATAGTACTGTAACATGTTATGTTCTAAGCTTTATCTTGTTATTCAGATGGAGCTGTGAGAGTTTGCATTATGTAAAATTGTTCTAAACTTTAATTGTATCAAACAGTTGAGTATCATGATATAGATGGAGTCAACAAACAGTTTTAAGCGTGGATTTTGTTTTTTGTTTGTAAATATTGGAAGAGATTTGAAATTGGGGGTTGTTAACATGGGCTGATATCGATGGATTACTATAGAGGATTGATCATAGATCAATCTATTCTATTAACTTATGATATCAGCAAGCATACATTTAAATCCCATAAATTTTCTTATATTTGATTTAGAGTTTTAATGGATGAAGTTTTTCAAAATAACATTATTTTATTATTTTTAAGGTTATTTACATCTTGGATGATATCTGAAAAAACTCTGAATTAGGAAATCTTGTTTATGTTGGCTTATTTAATGGAGATTGATCTCTTCCAATGAAAAATAAAATGACTCAAAATAAAAATAATTCCACTAGGAAATAATTTCAATATATAAAATAGAGTCATAAAAGTCACTAGGGATTTTAAGTGAAAATGTGAAAAGGGAAAAAAATATAGGACATGACTAGTTTAAATGATTTCATTAGTATTTGTCATTTGTTACAAATAATGCCCTTCTACACGATTGGAGAAGGTGTTAATACGATATAATAGATATAATTGTAATTTGTGTTGCATGTTGGAAGAGCTTTGATGTGTTGGAATTTTCTTCAAGAGATCATTTATTGCCCATTCATTTGTTTTCCTTTAAGGAGATGAAAACTAAAGACAATGAAGTCTAGAATAAATATTGGAGTTGATATTGGAAGTTAGAGTTGGTGTTGACGGATATTGTTGGTTACAGCAGACAACAAAGTCATCAGGCATTAAAGTAGTCGAAGGATCGTAGTTGGGTTATGACAGTCGAAAGATCACAATCGGGAGATAGTGGTTAGATGATCTAGTAGGGTAATGGGGATTAGAGAACTGTATTCAAGCGACATGATCAAAGAATCATAGTCATGCGACAAAAGTTGGCGAACCATAGTCAAACAATGATGGTTGGAGGATTGTGCTAGTTTTGGGTGGAATCTGATTGTGTTGATCAATTGGGTTGTACTGCTACCTCGAACCTCAATTCAAATTGTCGGTCTTGTTTAGGGGTTGTAGGGGCTTCTGTCCCTACTCAGGTTCGGATGCAAAGATAGAGAGCGGCATAGTCAGGCGATGGAAGTAAAGAAACCATAATATGACAATGGTGGTCAAATGACCATAATCGAGCAACAACAATCGAAGAACCGTAGTTGGGAGACAGTGGTCGGAGGACTGTAATCTGAACACAATGGTTGGAGGAGGGTAAATAGGTGTTGGTGATCGAATAATCGTAGTACTATGATGGTGGTTTGAGAAACATAGTCAAACATTGGTGGTCAGAAAGTCATACTCAAGCGACGATGATCTAAGGACTATATTTGGACAACGGTGGCCGAGGTTGGAGGACCATAATCAGGCTACAATGGCTAGAGAATCATAGTCCGATGATAGTAGTCGGAGTACCACACTCGAGCGATGGTGATCGGAGGATAAAGACGGTTGATGATTGTCGGAGATCCATAGTCGAGCGACAATGATCTCACATCAGTTGTCGAGCGGTAGTGATTTAATGGTGGTGCTTGGGTTGTGACGCGTGACTACAGTGGCAGTGGTAGTGGTCAGACAATGGTTCAACGACAATGGTTGGGCAATGGTTTGCTGGCAACAATGGGGAGGTGGTTTGAATATGGTGGTCAATGATAATCTGGTGGAGCATCAGGATTCCTTAAGCATTTGAGTTCAATTGAATCTCAAGCCAAGGGCAAGCACCCTTTCATGCAGAGAGTGGGGCCTAATTATAAATTTTTGAGAATGACATGATCGATAAATATAAATTTAATATAAAACATTCCATCAGAAGACGTATTGATTTTCTTGATCATAGACGTTCTTTTAGCACATAATTGCCTTAATAATGTAGAAATTAGATAATTTTAGGCTTACTAGATTCGTCTCATCAAGACACTTGCATTAATTATAAGCCTGTGAGATTTGGAGATCATTTGGTTCTCCAATTAATGTATCGAAGTTTTTAATTACGTTTTAAGTACTTAATTTAGGTTTATTTGGAGTCGAATTGGATCACTTTCTATGTCAATTGGTTATTCTCATGAAGAAGTTTAGTTTAACAATTGGTTTGCAACTAAATTTAATTCTATAATTCTAATTTAAACATGCATCGATATTTATACCAGATTAAGTCAATTTTTGAGGATATGTAAAAAAAGATGAGTAAAAATCGATGAGTATTGAGCATTGTCGGGTAGTTAAACCTTAATGCAGATGAGGATGGAGAAGTCAAGCTTTTATATAAACTCAAGTAAATCAGGGTTTTAAGAAACCCAAGCATGCATGTTTGGTTAACAATCTTCGTCTGTCCTCGTTACAAAATTATAGAACTATTACTCTTTTTCATAAATGATCTAGCTATTTGGCGTTTACACAAATAACCATTAATTATTTAAACAATCTAGTTAAAGAAACTTCTTGTTTTCCAACCCAGTATCATTTTTCAAGACAGATTGAGACCATATTTAATTGGTTTACAGCAAAAGATGATCATAATAGCTAATGGCTACTGATGGTTTCAATCATAGACAGAGAAAAAAATTATAAAATCGTTCAAACACATAATTTCTTCCGCAAAAAGCAGATGCAAAAACTAAAATATCAAATGTCAGATGTGCTAGAACAGTGAGTAGAATACGATCAGCCCCCGAGTTCATATGGAAAGTAATAAAGGGCTCATTTGGTTGTTTATGAGTTAAAAAGCATTTTTTAAATCTGTGTTGGGGATGTGGAGTAAACACCACAATTGAAACAAGCAATAATGTTAAAGAAGCAAAAAGAAAAGGACACTAAGATTTAACATGAAAAAATACAAAATAGGGAAAAAAATCATTGAGCCACACCACACCAAGAAATCCACTATGAAAATTGGGAGAAATAAGTTTTGCTCTCTGTCATTCAACACTAGGGCGTTCAGGTGCACTTTGCTTGGGGCGCTCGAATTCGTGCGCAGCGCCAATGCGTGTGTCGGCGGGGGGAATTCCACGTGCAAAAGCACTGAACCCAACCAGGGGGGGTAAACCCCTGCATCCCCCAATAAGCACGACAAACTGAGGTCCAAGGCAATAAAATAATCCGATTGATCAACACAATCAACTTCCACACATAACAAAATGATGATTTTATTTTTAATCATTTTGCGAGTGAAAAATATTATGATTGCATTTTAGATTTTGTAAGCTTAAAGGCATTATATATTCCAAATGAGGAATAAAAAATTTCATCATTTTTAAAATGTGTTTTTTAACTTAAAAAAAGTCAAATGTGCTAAAATAAATACCACCTAATAGAAAAAAATTAGATTTCATGGGCACCTCTCATGGACCATACAGGAATATGCTCTTAATTTTGTAGACAGAATGTAAAAAATTAAATTTTATACTGTAGAATAAAATCGTTTAATACCGAAAAGAGCTTGGATTATCAGGCCAAAGTTCTAGACTTCTCGCACATTCTGGTTCCACCAACAGATAAAGACGATCATTCCAGTCACGGACTTGATCTTTTGTTACCACTATATCATTTCCATATCCTTCCAATTTAAATTCCCCATCATCAGTGAGGTTCCCATACTTCAGTTTCTCTTCTTTAGGAAGATAAAAAAACTTTTTACCCACGCTCCGCACCTCATCAAGGAAATTGGTCGACAACTCATCGCTTACAACCTGCATAATACAAAACCAGCTTTTTCTATTTGAATTTATCCATTGAGCTTTATGGATATATTTTTCAGTAAGTAAAATTCAAGATAAAACAATTTTTCTCTCTTTGCATATAAATAGTAGAAAAAAATACATCAGCATATTGTCAGTAGGAAAATATAGAAGCATGATAATAATACATTAATACTAATACCAGACATCAACTGATAAATCTAAATGCCGATTATACAATAAAGTGAATTTCAAAATTTAACAACCAAAACTCTTAGTTATCGAGATATTGTCCGCTTTGTCCTAAGAGCCGCATGGTTTTGTCCTATTGGTGTAACTTCCTAGTAGGTCGCCCATCTCAGAATTGTTCCATCTCAGAATTGTTCTGGGATGAGCACGCTTAACTGTGGAGTTTTTTAAATAAAATTTCAACCATTACACCAAAAGGTGTCTTGATATTTAAGAGTTTAACTTCTTTTACTTAAGGGATTTCACAATCTCCCACACTTAAGTAACTAACGTCATCGTCAACATCTTTATCCCAGAATCATCCACAAAGCATATAAAAATCTAGAGGTGACCCCTACAAGTTCAAGTGGTGGCTCCCGTCATGTAGTACTTTGTCCCATACAAGATTCAAGAGGTGGCTCCCATGACGTAGCACTTTGTCTTGTATGACACTTAGTTCCCATCTTTCAGCTGATGTATTGATCTGATACCATTTTTAACAGCCCAAACTCTTAACTATTAAGATATTGTCCGCTTTGACCTAAGAGCCTCACAGTTTTGTCATGTTGATGTAACTTCCCAGTAGGTCACTCATTCTATAATTTGCTCTGGGATTAACATGCTTAGTTGTAGAGTTTTTTAAATGAAATTTCAAACATTATAGCAAAAGGAGTCTCGATGTTTAAGAGTTTAACTTCTTTTACTTACAGAAACTTCATAATCTAGAACATGAATATAAGCAAGTTTAAGAATAAATTTCATTCGTGAGTGTAAATTTAATTGCATGGCTCTATTATGCATAAATGTAGAAAGTAGCCACGTTCATCTCCATGACATAAATATGCAAATAATGAAATAACACTGTCTCGCTGGAGACGGAGAGTTCCTGAGAAATGTAAGAGTAGGAAATGAGCAGAGAAATTGATATTAAGCATTCATAGTTACATATGAGGAGAATAAAAGTATATATAGATAGAGAAAAAGAGACGTTGGCTGGCAAGAACCAAGAACCAAAATGAGTACAGTGACACGTCATGACAGAATTGCGGCTGAGTTATCTGTGCTCTTACAGTCCCCCTCAAATTGATCATCTTGAGAGCAGATTAGTAATTTGGATCGTAGATTGGCGAATCGAGGGGCGGATAACGGTTTGGTGAGTATGTCTGCTATCTGGTCGGTGGAGTTGATGTGAGCTATGTTGATTTGTTTTGCCTGAATGTGTCCACTAATGAAGTGGTAGTCAATCTCGATGTGTTTTGTCTGAGCGTGAAAGACTGGATTGTTGGCGAGGGCTATAGTTGAGGTGTTATCGCAGTATATTGTTGTGGAGGAGTTTTGATGTATGTATAGTTCAGCTATGAGACGTCATAGCCAGAGAACGTCGGAAGTGGCGGATGAGATGGAGCAGTATTATACTTCAGTGGAGGATTTGACGATTGTTACCTGTTTCTTAACGGACCATGAAATAAGACTGTTGCCGAGAAAGGTGCATAAGCCGGAGATAGATTTTCTATCGGACGTATCTGTGACCCAGTCTGCATCCGCGTAGGTACGTAGTTGTAGGTCACCTAGCATAATCTGGGTGTCATAGCTAATTGAACCATGTGTTGACAGACGGTGTTGGTGGCGAAGGCGATGTCGGGGCGAGTGATGGAGAGGTATTGAAGGGAAACTGCCAGCTTTTAGTATAGTTATGGGTCGACGAAGTGTTGATTGTCAGGTTTGCTTATTGGTCGTTGCATGGACATTGGGGTGAGAGTGGGTTTGCAATGTTCGAAACCAGTTGTTTTAAGAATGTTTGCTACGTAGTGTTGCTGAGTTAGAAAGTAGCCTTTGGAGTTTTTGGTTACCTGTATGCCGAGAAATAATGAGATGTCTCCCAGTTGTTTAACACTGAATGCAAAATTGAGTTGTTGGAGTAGATTCTAGACTGTTGATGTATCATTTCCGGTGACGAGGATATCGCCAATGTAGATCAACACAAGGAGCTGGGTGAAGCCATTATTGTATAAGAGCAGTGAAGGATCTGGTTTGCTAAAAGTGAAACTAAATGTCAGTAAGAATTTGGTCTGTTTTTTAAACCATTGCCTCGCTGATTGTTTTAAACCGTAAATGGATTTATGTAGTTTGCAAACGTATTCAGGATGTTGAGAGTCAACGAAGCCAGGTGGTTGTTTCATGAACACCTCTTCGTGGAGATCGCCGTGGAGAAAAACGTTAGAGACATCTAGTTGAAGGATAGGCCAGTTTTTGTGAAGAGCAAGGGTGATGAGAATACGGATGGTGGGCATCTTGGCTACAGGACTAAATGTTTCGGTGTAGTTGATTCTAAATTGTTGGGAGCAACCTTGTGTGACCAAGCGGGCTTTGTAACGGTCGATCTGTCCGTTTGGTTGTCTCTTAATTTTGAACGTCCATTTGCATCCAAGAATGGGCTTGTTGGGTGGAAGAGGGACGAGCGACCAAGTAGCTTGTTGTTGGAGTGCCATGTATTCGGCGGACATGGCCTTTCTCCAGTGTTGGTGCTTAGCCGCTTGAGAGTAGGAGGCTGGAACAGTTGAAAGAGTGACAGATAAATCCAGAATTTGTTTTGGTAGGGATATGCCGGGTTTGAGTCGAGTTTGCATTGGATGTGTGGAGGTTTGAATTGGTGGTTGTGTAGTGGGTGCCATGAGGGTGTTAGATGTGGGAATGTACAGGTTGCTGTTTTGGCTAGTGATTGAGTGTGACGTAGTGGGACAAGAGGGTGAATTCAATGGTTGGTTCTGGGTAGGATTTGTGTATAAGAGTTGTTGTGTTGATATGGTGGAGGGTGGTACGAGAAGGAGAGGTGAGAAAGTTGAGGATTGGGAGGTGTTTTGTGAATTTGTTGAGGATGACTGAAAAGGAAATTGATGCTCCTGGAAGACGACATGGCGGGAGATATAGATACGTTTGTTGGTTGGGTTGAAACAGCGGTAACCTTTGTGGAGGGAAGAGTAGCCGAGAAAAACACATTCTTAAGATCTGGGAGATAGCTTGGTAGAGGCTTGAGGGCGAAGCCAAGGAAAACAGGAGCAGCTGAAAGTTCGAAGATGATTGTAAGTGTGTGGGTGATCATATAATTTTTGATAGGGGGTGCCGAGAGATATGGCTTTTGATGGAAGGCGATTAATGAGATAGTTTTCGGTTGATACAGCCTCGGCCCAGAACTGATGAGGCATATTGGCAGCGTGAAGGAGAGCCCGAGTGAGGTCCAGAAGATGACGGTGTTTGCACTCTGCGATGCCGTTTTGCTCGGGGGTGTAGGGGCAACTAATGTGATGGGTGATCCCGTGTTGGAGAAGGTGGTTGCGGAAGTGGTTACTCATAAATTCTCCGCCTCCGAATGAACGGAAAGTTTGAATTGTATTGTTGAATTTTTTTTTATTAGAGTTAAGAAGTTTTGAAATTTGGAGAAGGTTTCGCTCTAGGAGGTCATTAAGTATAGCCACAAAAAACGTGTGTAATCATCGACGAATAAAACATAATATTTGTATCCATTTATAGAGGGTTGGGGGGCTGGCCCCCAAACGTCGGAGTGAACAAGTTGAAAATTTTTATTGTAAGTAGAAGTGCTTTTGGGAAAAGAGAGTTTGTGGCTTTTTGCCACGTTACAAGAGGTGCAAGAATGTAAAGAAATAGAAGAAGATGAGTTCCGTAGTTTAGGAATTTGTTGTGCGAGCAATCAGAGAAGGCAGACGTATGGATGACCAAGACGTGCATGCCAGCGAGAGATGGAGGTCGTGGTGGTGCTAAGGGCGGTGTTTTGACTTGTGTTGGACGTCAAATGGTGCATAGGCCGTCAAAATTGCGACCATGTAGAAGGGGCTGATTGTCCTGCATATCCTTAATAACGAACCCGTGAGCAGCAAAAGAAACAGAGATGTTGTTGCCAGTCGTTAGTTTGGAAATGGAGACAAGATTATATGACAAGGACGGAATGTAGAGAAGATTTCGTAGGTGAAGCTTACGTGAGGAGTCCGGTAGCGGTAGGATTCCTTGACCGGTGTGATAAATGGGAATGTTAGTGCCGTTGGCTATGGAGACGGAGTCGAGGCCATTCTAGGTAGTTGAGTGTTGGAGGTTTGATGCGTCAGATGTGAGATGAGAAGTGGCACCCGAGTCCATAACCCAATCGGAGGTGAAGGTTGCAGGTTGATATGCAAGAAGTGCACGAGATGCACGCGAGGAGGTGGGGGCATGCTTTGGATTGCATCTATGCCGGCAATTAATTGTTGAATGTCCTATTTTGCTACAAATTTGGCATATAGGACGGTATATCGGAGATGAGGATCCTGGATTGGAGGCGTGATGGTTGAATGAAGGATGTTGGTTGGAGCCGCGAGCTTGGTTCCTGTTGTTGCGACCGCGATTGGAGTTGTTGCAGGCGGAGAACAGTGCGACCGTGTTAGAGGGAGATTGTGTTTCTTTGAGCTGCTCGTGGTGAAGATTGATCTCTTCACTGCATAGCAAAGAGTAGAGAATGTCTAGATTTATGGGATTCAAAGACGTTCTTATCGCTTTCTTGAATGGGTTGTAGCTGCTCGGAAGACCGTTCAAGATGTACAAGATTATGTCCTTGGTGTCGATTGTTGAGCTGGCGGCGGCGATATTGTCGACGAGGATCTTGATTTGAGCGAGATATTACTGCATCGTTTGATATTTCATTTGGATTTGATGAATCTCGTTCTTGAGCTGGATCACACGAGACCGACTGGTTGTTTGGAGTCTTCTTTCGAGAGTGGCCCAGACCTCGTGAGCCGAGGTAAGCGAAAGAATGTAAGGTAGCATGGATGGGGAGATTGCGGACAAGATCGTGGAAAGAAGGTTGCGATCGATTAATTTCCACGTGTTGTAGTCTGCGTCGGATGTTTCGGGAGGGCAAATTGCGGTTCCGGTGAGATGATTGTTGAATCCATTGGCGGTGAAATGTTGAAGAAGTTGTAGACGCCAAATCGCATAATTCTCATTTGTGAGGATCTTTGGAACAAGATTCTTGAGATTATAAATTAGAAATTTCAAGGGGGCAGGAATGGTGAGTTCGGAGAGGGATGAGGAAGAGAGATTGGAATGCATTGGTGGAGATGTTGCCGAACCTTGATCGGCCATAAGAAGACGAAGAGCTAGCGGTTGAAGCGATCTTCTGATATGATGAAAGAACTCTGTCTCGCTGGAGACGGAGAGTTCTTGAGAAACGTAAGAGTAGGAGATGAACAGGGAAATTGATATTAGACATTCATAGTTACATATGAGAAGAATACAAGTATATATAGGCACAGAAAGAGAGACGTTGGCTGGCAAGAACCAAGAACCGAAATGAGTACAGTGAAACGTCATGACAGAATTGCGGCTGAGTTATCTGAGCTCTTACAAACAAAACTCCCCCAACCAAATATATTATAGCTGTTAAAAAAAACTTGCCTGGCAATAACTTTCCCTTTTCAAACACAATGTTTGCTTTAGTCATGAATTTGAATGCTAAACTTAAACATGTAACCCCACGAGTTTAGAGGCCTCAATAGTAATTTGATGTAATAAATCTTTATCTGGTTTGGTCAATGTATTTGAATGGATTATTGATGCAAATATGAAAGTTAATTCATTAAAAAATAAATCATTTGGACTATTGTTGTTCTAATTATTAGTTTTATATTTCCGAGTGCATAACAGCTGCCTATGGTGCTGATTCTCATGAGAGCGAGTTGTGTTCTCAAGTGTATAGATTACCTATTTACGTTTTGTTTCCTTATGCAACTCATTCCAATGCAACTCTTGGATTCCTTAGTTAACCTAATTCCAATTCACTGCTTTAGTGCGCATATATAGTCTTGTATTTATTCCATCCACTGATTTGAAAACTCACTGTTTGTCATTGATTTAGTATTGTTACGACTGTTGATCTCCATTAATAGCCGTTGATTTCCATATAAAGAGATTGTCGGTTTACTTCTATTGATTGCTTCCGGGTTTCCTTTATGACTTGCGATATAATTACTATAGCTATAAGAGGTTGCAGCTTTTAGATATGATCCTCCATCTTAGGATTTTCCTTCGACGAGCATCAAAATCATATTTGAGTTTGCTGCTCTTTCTAGAACTATAGCTATGCTAATTTTTTCCATCTACAAAGTTTTCTTATATGGGTATTGTAGCAGTGCTTGATTATTGATGTCCTTCATTTTCCAGTATTCATTGTACTTGGGTGCATGAAAATTGCTGAAACGTTGATGAAAATAAAATATAAAAGATGAAATTTACTGTTTTGGTTGAAATCAAGTTTGTAAACTTATTTTTGCTAGAATCGAAGTTTTTGGAGCTGAAACTTACAGTACCAGGCTAGATTTTGAAAGATTATGAAGAATTGCTAATTTTGGATCTTTCATGGACTTTAAATAGGACTACGAGGAATGAACAAAAATTGAGCAATCAATGATCAAGAAAATTTAGATTTTTCTCTCAATTCTTGTGTGTTGTTATATTTTGAATATTCCCATTTGTGATTTTGTTATGAGAAAAGGCAGCAGGTTCAGCCCTCCTTGTGGGGCCCGGCAAAGATCTAATTAAATATACTAGAAGGGGAAATAAGAAAGTAAAGAATTTTAATTTTAAAATAGAGAAAGAGAAGGAAATTAATTAAGGAAGGGGGCTGCTTTTGGGGGGAATTATGGGGTTTATTTAGGATTGATTCTTGGGTTTATTTTTCATGTTTTGTCTAGAGAGTTTGCAGAAGTTTTTTCTGGAGGTTTTTTTGAGGGCTTCCTAGTGTCGTCTAGGTCAAGTGGGAGAGACAATCGACCTCTCTAATAGTATATCATTGTATCTTGTTTTGATGTTGAACTTTTAATATAAAAAATCAGTCATCGTTTCTCATTTTTTATGTTTTTACTATCTTTTCTTGCTAATTTCGTCTTCAAGGCATATCAAATTGGTATCAGAGCCGCGTCTTGGACCAAACTTTGTCCTCTGCTTGTTGAAATCTATTACAAAAATCATTTCCTTTGATGTTTTTTGCTAATTGAAGACCCTTCATCATTGTTTTTGCAATTTGAAACCTAAATCCGTGAATGGTTGCGAAGAAGACAGAGGCGTTGGAAAGAGAGATGGAACAATTCAAGGCTGGGATGGAGCAAAAATATTCATGAATGAAAGAAAGTCCGTCATCCGAAAACCCGGATGGAAAACCGATTCGAGAACATGGAAGTCATAATGAGGAAATCAATCAAGGTGCAATCGAAGGCTCCACCAGCTAGTCCAAGGGCTAATCTAAAAGGAAAGAAACTTTAGGAAGACAATGATGAAGAAGAGATGACTTTTCCTCAAGAACCATCCCGAAGGGGTCGATGGTATGAAGGCAACTTGAAGTGGATTAAATTGTAAAACCTAAGTGAAGACAAAGAAAAATTCAAACTTATATTTGCAGCATTAAAATTTATATTAAAATAAATAAAAAAAAACCCTTATATTTGCAGCATGGCGCAAGATGAATAAGAAGTGCACAATTTCAAAGATTAGGTAAATGATTTTCCCCAATGCATTTGATGAGCTTGCATATGAATTTAAGATTTGAAAGAAAAAAAAAATCTTACTTCGAAGAAATATTCAACATCTTTTAGTTATAGTATTGAGATTTTAAAGGATGAAAATGTATCACTCAATCATAATAGAATGAATTTTATGATATGATTAAGTCATGTTCTATGATTGAAAAGAAAATGTTACTCTTAAAGCTCAAATTAATGGCATAACTATTACTACCTCTACTAGCACTGGCACTTGTATCCATGCCACACAATTAATATTGCAAATCCAAGCTGCAATGTTACATCTATTTATTTTTATTGTAAGCATGATAAAAATCATGATAAATCTCTTTTGCATGTTTGGCTCAACATAAATGTAACTATTGTAATAGACAAATGTTTCATAAGTGTGTGCATTTAGAAAATTCATGAGCACCACTTATTTTTGCGCTCATGCTTTTATCCTTCTTGAAGCAATATTTATTTATCAAAATCAAGACAAGGGGAGAACATTAACCTCATAAACCTGATGATAGCAATATTTCATTAGAGTCATATAATGGTTTGACTAAGTATTTGGCATGTTTCCAATTTAAGCAGCTAACGTTGCAGATGATGAACCTAGTGATCATAAACTCCGACGCGACTAACTTAAAAGGATGACCCAATATAGATTCATCGGACGAGCTTAATTATCATATGATCCAGCAACAAGTATCCATATCAGGACAAACTGGACAACATATTTTATGAATCAATTATAACTGATGCTTAATTTTTATATGATTCACCAATAAGGGCTTATTATGCATAAGATAAGAAAAGCAACCTGGCACAGGCCCCATGTTTGGAGGCCTGACTTGAGCCGGAGGGCCTCCTCACCCGACTCGAAGAGACGGCCGATATCGACGATGGGAACGCCGGAAGCCGGCGGTGAAGAACCGATCGGACGATTCTCCTCTTTCTGGACGAACTGGGCTGGTAGCTCACCGCCGCTCCTAGCCAGCTCCTGGACCAGCCGCCGGTCAACCGCCGTCTCTACCATTATGATTCGCTCACTGAGAGCAGGAACTCCGGCTTCCTTCTTCTTTCTCTGCTACTGTTTCTCAGTCTGATTTTTTACTCTTCTGAGTTATATATAAGCACAGGTCTGGAGGCCGCGGTGTAGAAGAAGAGTAGCCAATCTTCTTGTACAATGATGAATATATTATCTAAGCACGATAGATAGTATCAAATTAAATTATTTATTGTTATTATATTATAAATATCACATGATTAAGAAAACGTTTGGCCCGATCCAATTTTTTAATAGGGTTGAAATCTAGAACCCGAATTTCATTCCTATGCTAAATGGGTTGATACGAATCTGAAATTTTATGAGTCATATTTGCGTTATGTTTTGGGTCGGGTCATATTTTGGAACAATTATTACGTCCTCTGACCGGGCGTAGAGCTACGTTCGGCCGCCAATAGCATGTCGGCACATGCTCTTACTCTTTACTGCGCGGCCTGACGACTTGACCCGGACCAGAACCTGGGAATGCTATGTTCGCGTAATGCGGGGTATTACTCGGTATTTGCTCGGTATTGCTAGGTATTGCTTGACAATAACGAGAAATACAAATACCGAGTAATACCAAGAAATACCGAGTTGTACCAAGTTTTTTTCTTACCGAATTTTTCTATACCGAGTTGTACCGAGTTTTTCTAGAAAAACTCGGTACAACTCGGTATTTCTCGGTATTTGCTCGGTATTTGCTAGGTATTGATTATTGCCGAACAAAATCGACCAATACCTAGCAAAATCAAGAAATACCGAGCCATCCTGGGCCTGTTCTGGGTCGGGTTGTCGGGCTGCGCGATAAATAGTGAGAACGCGTGGCGCGATTCTATTGGCGGCCGAACGTAGAGCTATATCCTGTGACCGGACCAAATAAAAGTTCCATATTTTGACCCCTAATACCTTTATCCCTCACCCATTTATTCAACCAAACAAAATTACATAAATATATTTTATTTTATTTTATTTTATTTTATTTATCTCAATGTATAAGATAGTTTTTGGTTTGGGTTTAGAAAATTTATCCAATCAAATATTGATGTTTTAATTAAAGAAATTTTAACTTAAATTCAAAATCAATCGAACCAAACGTTTTCAAGAAAGGAACTTAGTGATATCAGAAGTGAACTGATTTGAATCAAATAAGCTAAAATCAAGTATTTAAAATATAATCAAAACTTTGAGATATTAATTAAAAAATCAAACAATCTTTGAATCTAATGAGCATAAGATCTATCATCCCTCGTATGTAGTCATATGATTGTCATTGCATGATTATGTCATGCAACCTCGTTGTGCTAACCTTATTATTTGAGTACAATCTCTTAATCTGCGTCAAATAAATAAATATTATTTAGTTTCATCTTGAATTATATTTATTTCAAAATGACCCAATCAAAAGCTATTCTGGATATAAAAGTCTATATTCAATCAACTTTTGAGAACAATGGAATATAATTGTTGCGTCTTGAAGTATTCGCGGCGGTGGTCCGACGGAGGTGAGGGCCTCATGCGGTGGTCCAGCAAGGGTGAGGGCGTTAAGTGGTGGTCCAGCGGAGCAACGACGTCAGGCGGTGGTCTGGTGGAACTTAGGCGGTAGTCGAGGAGGAGCTTCTTCCTTCTCTTCTTGTTTTGTCCTCTTTCAAGAGAAATGATGAGTCTATTTATAGGTTTATGGAGTGACATGACCTGTAAATAGGTGAGAGATCAAGGGTAAATGATGATTGATTAGATGGATGGCTGATGTTGAATCCCTTAATCAAGGACCGTTTGATGAACATTTGAATGTCTTAGTGACGTCGGATTTTGGTGATCTTGGGCTCGTTGGATTCGTCTCGTCGAGCTACTCGATTCGATTATAAGCATGTTATGTTTGGAAACCGTTTGATAATTCAAATTGTGATTTGAACCTTCCAACAGAGATTTTAACCCTTGATTTGGACCAGTTTGGGCTTGGATTGGGTTGGATTTGGTGTCGTTGGGTTCATATTATTGAGACGCTCAGTTCGACTATAAGTTTGCTGAAAGCGGAGTTCATATGGTCCCAATTTTAATTTCTGAAGTTTCCAACTTTATTTTGCATCGAGAACGTGCCCGATCAAGATAATTTTTGGTGGACGTATCAATGATGATTGAAAATTTTGACCATTGATGAGCGATATAATTTCAAGAAGAATTACAATCCCTCAAAAAACACACAAAAAAGTAAAATTACGCCGGATTAAGTTTCGATGGTAACACTAGTGGGATCTCCCTACAAAAATTGTAAAAAATTAGTGGATTATGTGTTGGTATTACTAGCTAATATGGGTGTAAGTGAGTTGAGTTGGTTTAAGCTCGACTTGTTAACGAACTCACGAGTCAAACTTATCCAACACAAGTTTGAGCTCAAGCCTATACTCGAGCTCAGTCTGGCTTGGCTCAAGAGCTCATTGAGCTGTTCAATTAACTTAAAATATATATAAAAATTAATTTGTATTTATATTAAATAATGTATTTAATATAAATTAATTCTAAAATAAAATTTAATTTAGAACTAAGAAATCAGGCTAAAAAATCAAGTCAAACTCAAGCTTTTTAAACAAGTCGGAGCCTCCAAATTTTTTAACGAGTAGAGATCGAGCTTAGTAAACGAGTTCTAGTCGAGCTCGAACTCAATAAAAACTAAAGAAATTCAACTTAATTAAGCAGATACTCGACTCCCCTTATTTACATCACTACCGAGGAAACACAGCTTGCCGAAAATTATGCTGTGTTCACTTAACACCGCCAGAAATTTAGCCATGCTCGCAACATTGTGATGCCTCTCCATTTATTTGTTTGCTTGAGAGCACTCAAATGAGAAAAATGGTTGATGTGGCCCACGAGACTTGTAAAACTTTAAATTAACAGTCTGTTCAACGGGCCGCATCCATGGAGTGGACTCATGCACGACAGCACGACCACCATGCCTGCACGAGGGTGAGATGGTCATTTTAAATATTTTTTAAAATTTATTTAGGTTTTATTTGGGACGCCTTTATTACTACTTTCTAAAACGGCTTTTTAGTATAAAAATTTTGTATTTAAAAAACAGCTTTAAAAAGCTATAAGAAAGCTGAAATCTTAGGTTTGGTTTGGAGCGGCTCTCTTACTATTTTCTAAAACAGTTTTTTAGTACAAAATTTTTTTAAACTAAAAATATTTATACTAATGATATATCACCAAAAATTATCTTGAACGAACACGAATCTTGAGGCAAAATAAAGTTGAAAACTTCTGAAATTAAATATGGGATCATCGAAACTCTGATTTCAACAACTTGACAGTTGAACTGAACGTCTCAAATATACGAACCCAACGACACTAAATTTGACTCAAACCGAGCCCAAATGGATGCAAATCAAAGATCCTAAGTGCATTTGAAAAGTTCAAACCATAAATTGGATGGACAAACGATTTTCAAACATAGCATGTTTATAATAGAATTGAGCACCTCGACGATACGAATTCAATGAGCACAATATCGTCGAATTCAGATATCATTAAGACATTCAAATAACTAGTAAACAGTCCAGGGTCAAGGGGATCAAATATCAGCCATCCATTCAAATCACTTCCAACTTAATCTTAATCTCCCACATATTTACTAGTCGTGTCTCTCTCATAAAACTATAAATAGAGTGCTCATTTCTCTTGGAAGGGGACTCAAGCATGGAAGAGAAGGAAGAAAGAGAAACTAGAGTTTTCTTGCCACCAAACACCTCATCGACTCGGTCACCTACCGACGCAGGACTTCCGCCCGACCACCAACTGATGCCAGACTTCTGCCCGACCATCGATTGATGCCGAACATCGGCCCAATCACCAACTGACATTAGACTTCCGCTCGACCACCAAACGTTGCTGGATTTCGACCGATTTTTGTTCGTCACTAAATTTCAACCCGACGGATGATTGTTGTAATATGATCATCCTCAATAGGATAGATAAGTCATTTATAATATATTCAAACAATAGTGAAATCATTTCAATTGATTGTGGCCCTATGGTTTATCATATTTTATAAGATTTTTTATGCAAAAAAAAAAAAAAACATGTGTTTATGAATTCCTTGTTTGTGTGCTGGATATCCGTAGAATGCTGAGATGAAAATTCCAACTCTGTCGCTGCTTATATTTTAGCTCGCAACAACTAAAAAATTACTTTATAAAGTAATTAAAAAATCATCCCAAATAAAACCTTAATCTTTATAATGCATCATAAAACTATCATTGTTGCGGGCTAGAATATACGCGGCGATAGAGTTAGAATTTTTTATCTCAGCGTTGTATGGATATCCATCACACAAACAGAAGAAAAATAAAACACATGGATTTTTACGTGGAAAACTAAGAAAAGGGGAAAAATCACGGGGCATTACCCAACTGAAAAGATTTCACAAGTGTTTAATTGGAGTACAAATGACTAAGTCATCTCTAAAATTTAGGACAATCATATTAGAATAATCAACTCTTGGGTTTAAATGTAGTTACAAACAAGGATCGGAGATCCGGTGACGTTGGGTGGTCGGGCAGAACTTCAGAATCACTTGGAGGTCGGACATAAAAAACACATGGATTTTTACGTGGAAAACTAAGAAAAGGGGAAAAATCACGGGGCATTACCCAACTGAAAAGATTTCACAAGTGTTTAATTGGAGTACAAATGACTAAGTCATCTCTAAAATTTAGGACAATCATATTAGAATAATCAACTCTTGGGTTTAAATGTAGTTACAAACAAGGATCGAAGATCCGGCGACATTGGGTGGTCGGGCAGAACTCCGGAGTCACTTGGAGGTCGGACATAATTCCAGTATCATTTGGAGATCGGGCGGAATTCCAGGTTCACTTGGAAATTGGGCAGAATTCCAGCGTCACTTGAACGTCGGGTAAAATTCTGGCTTCACTTCAAAGTTTGGTCGAAACTTCGGCAGTGGTTAATGAAGAGTCTAGTGGCGAGAGGGCTTTCTTCATTATCTTCTTCAAAGTTTGGTCGGAACTTCAGCAGTGGTTTGAATGTACGGCCAATGTTGAATCCCTTGATCATGGATTGTTTATCAGGCATTTGAAGGCTCTAATGATATCAGAATTTAAAGATTTTGAGCTCATTGGATTCGTCTCGTCGAGTCGTTCGATTCGATTATAAGCATGCCATATTTTAAAATTGTTTGGTAATCAAAATATTGATTGAACCTTCCAAATGTGCTTCGGGTCATTGATTTGGACTAGTTTGGGCTCGGATTGAGTTGAATTTGGTTTGAACCTTCCAAATGACATATTTTCGAGACGTTTAGTTCGACTGTAATTTACTGAAATCGGAGTTCAGATGGTCTCGAATTTAATTTTTGAAGCTTCCTACTTAATTTTTGCATCAAGATTTGTGACTGATCAAAATAATTTTTTTGATGATATATCAATCATTATAATCTCTTAAGCATGTTCAAATTTGAAATTTATATGAAAATTTTATATTTGATCATGATCCCAATATTTTTTTTAACAAAAGATGCCTTTACCGTAATATTTGTGGAGAAGTTTTAGGATGAGGAGTTTTAGTGAAATTTGACAAACATTAGAACCCGGAAAGCAATATAACGTGGCGGACCGGCCTGCCTGGGACCCCAGTCCCCAGGTCTCATTTGCGGCCCTAACAGCCATTGTAAACGGAAGAGATTTTCTCGGTGGTCTTGTCTTCTCCGTCCGAGCTGATCAGGTGGGCGCGCAGCTAGAGGTAGGGTTTTGCCGTCGTCTTCGCTTTTGCTCTTCGCCGGGCGGCGGTATACGAAAGGACTGCGAGGGTGGCGTGGAAGAGGTGGATGGTTATGGGAGCCACGGCCTCCAAACTCGAGAAGGCACTCGGAGACCAGTTCCCCGAAGGCGAGAGATACTTTGGACTCGAGAATTTCGGCAATACTTGTTACTGCAATAGTGTCTTGCAGGTCTTGTCCTCGTTTCCAGAAGTTTGATTTGACTTGGTTAAATATGTGATCGAAATAGTTTGAGATTCGCGATCCTTTTGTCCAAGTTTCTCTTATAATTTGGACTATTTATTTGGATTGATTTATTTCTGAATATAGACAAATGATTTAGAGTAGCTTATCTTTAGATGTTGGTTTTCCCTTTTTATGATAATATGAAGATTGTGAGTGATTTGATGCTGATGATTGAAAGTTGCAGTCCATTTTATGGTCGTATAGTGCCTTTGTTCTGTTCAATTATTTCTCCTTTCTATCTTGGTGCTGTTTTCTACTAATGCACTGTGATATGGATGCAGTCGACCTAAGGGAAGTTTCTTCTTCCTTTTTTATGTAATCTAGATAAAATTTAAGCATTTCTTCAGCAGTTATAGTTTGATATATGTTTTATCCATTATAAAACTAGGTTTGATGGAAAGTTGCATGAATTGAATTTGAATTTTTAAAGAGGTACTTGGTTGTTAGGATGCGTTTTTTTTCGGAGGATGCTGCAGCTTGGAGTGAAGGATATTCTCCATGGTGCATCTAATGATTTGAAATGCCATTTTCTTACTTTGATTTTTTTTTTGATTAATAAATATTCTTCTTTTAAATATGAAAAATATACGCCAGTGTTAGTGTCAGATAAGATTAGAGAGATTCAGCTTAGATTGTTTGGTCACATAAAACATCAACCTTTCGATGACCTTATTAGGAGAGTAGGCATATTAGATTCAACATATGTTAAAAAAATAGAGGTAGACCTCAAAAGAGTTGGGCAGAAAATAATAGAAATGATATTTTTTATTAGATTTAAATGCGGATTTGACTATTAATAGGACACAATGGAAAAAATTATTCATGTAGCTGACCCCACGTAGTAGGATAAATGCTTGTTGTTGTTATCGTTGTTGTTACTATCTTGAATATAGTCTACAAAATTTGGCAGTTGTAATAGTTTGCTTAAATACATTGCTTGTGCAAAGGCTTTTATGAAACCCTACCTCATATTTAATGAATACAAACTTTTCATTCAATAAAAATTTCTAAATTTATCATGTATTCATTTACATTTTGCATGTTATCCCACTTCAAATTTGTTATTATATGCACTTTTTTGTGTCTAATGGAATAGAATTGAGCTTTTAAAATTCTCTTAAACTCTGGCCATGTTAAGTTTGACAAATCATAGTTTTTTTATTATGAATTCTACCATATTAAATCATGTGAGGATAACTTCAAACGTACTTATTAAGTGCTAGAAAATTTGCGGTGGTAGAATGTGTATTTATTATCTTTGCTTCGTAAACATCTAGACTATCTAGTCAAAATAGATAACAACTGTGCGAGACCATAGATTTTTTTATGCAGAAAACCCAAGAAGGGGACAAATCGCAAGCAGTTGAATGAATCCACTAAATGATGGAAGATACAAGAATCCTCTCTTTTGCACAATTGAAGGAGTTGAGACTATACACAATTGAGAATAACCCCAACAATAGGTTTAGATATCAATAGTCAAACAACAATAAGTCGGATGATGAAACTCTAGAGATGGTGACGATGATTGCTGATGATAGTTGTCGGTGGTGATTATCAAAAAATGCGAGAATTCTTTAGCTCTCTCAGCTCTCGAACCTCATCTCCTGTAGAGAATGGAACACATTTTATAGGCTTTTTGAGAGAGACATTTTGGTACATTTTGTGAGAATTTAAAAGTCTCTGTCATATGATTTACATTGATCTCCTTGATTATAGGTTATTTATAAAACACCTGAATGTCTTAATGATATCATAATCAAATGATTTTAAACTCATTTAATTCATCTCGTTGAGTCGCTATTGCATGACAGAATTGGAGATCATTTGGTCATTCAATTAATGTTCTGAAGTTTTAAAATATGTTTCGCTTGCTTGATTTGAGCTCATTTGAAGTGGGTTTGGATCGGTTGTAATGTCTATTGCTTTGTCTCGTCTATACATTCAGTTCAATTATAAGTTTGTTGAAATTGGAGTTCAGACAATCTTGAATTTAATTTCAAAAGTTTCAAATTTAAATATTGCCTTGAGATTTGTGCTGATTATGTGAATTTTCTAGAGACTTAGTACTAAACATGAAATATGTTCATAGAAGCTCAAGTCAGTTGTTTATTACCTCAGGTTTGACGATTCAGTCATAGTAAGGTAACGCCAATTTTGCCTCTAACTTCAAGTAAATATCTTTGTCTTCTCTTCTTTATGTATCATTATCAGCTTCTCTCTTTGGTGATGGATTCTCGCTTTTGTAAGTTGTTGTCTGTTATTAAATTTCTCTCCTTTTATTTGAGCAGTTGGTGGAATAGATAATGGTTGTACTATATCAACAAGAGTTTCAAAGACAATCATCATTGTGATCATTTGTTCCTTCATTACAACACTGATCAACCATTTGCTTGGATATATATTTTTTTATATTGAAAAGATCTTCAATTATCTATAGTTTCTTCTCCTTGTTGTAGTTCTCAGGTTCCATAGAATCATCAAGTTGATCCTTCCTAGTCCTTAACCCTGAAAAACTTTTCCTAGAGGTCGGAACTTGGAACTACTCTTTAATACTAAAATATGATGTAGAATTTGGGTGAAGAAGGCTTGTAGAACTGGAAGAAAATTTATAGGACAAGAGATTATAATTTCTATGGAATACCTTGAAGGATAATGAGCTTATTTCTATTTTTTTAAACTAAACATAGAATTAATTCGATGTTAATATTAATTTAGAGGAGTGGACAACAATTGTATGTGTTACAAATATTTTTAGTGAATGTGATAGTACTGGATGGACTCCTTGATTGTAGGAGGTGAAGGCTGACACTTGCTAGAGGCGTTGGAGGAGCTCCGATTAGAGCAAATTGAATTTCTGCTTCAGTACTGGTTGGAGACAGCTTTTACAATGGTTGGATGACATAAGTAGAGAGAGGGAAAGGGAAGCCAGTCAGTATTTGTAGCAAAAGAGAATATTTTGAAAGTAAGAATTATGATTTCATTCAATTTGAAATTGAAAACTTGAAATCAATTATAGAGATCAAAGTATCAACAACCAATCTATTCAAGCTTAAAAGAAATTATAAGATAGGAACCATATCTTAAAATAGCTAAATCCTTCCTAGATTTCCTCATTAAAAAGTGATAAGTTATGTAGGATAATGAATAGAATTTTGCGGTGGGAATCAAATTTAGCATTGATTATCTCCAACTAATTTTCTCTATTTTCACTACTTGCCAGCCCTCATTATTTTCAAATAAGTCTCCACTCAATTCATACATGTTAATTAATTCCTTTCATGTTTGGTATATCATCAAAAGTTGACTTGATTATGCACAAATCTCAGTGAATATTTGAATTGGAAACACTTGGAAAAATTCAAGCCCCTCTGAACTCCAATTTCAAAAAATTATTGTCAAATTGAACTTCTTGATGAGAAAAACCCAACGACACTAAAAGTGCTATAATCTAAAGCATAAATGAGCCCATATCAATCACTTGGAGCATATTAGAAAATTTTGTGACATTAATTTGATGACCATGTAAATGCAAAACCTTGAATATTTATAGTCAAATCAAGCATTTCGATGAGGTGAATCGAATGAGCCCAAAATCATCTAATTCCAACATCACTAAGGAACCTAAATGCTGAAAGAATTATTTATGATTGATGAAATCAAACTTGTTTTTAATCGATGAAAGTAATATAGGTCGCCCGAAATAGTCTTAAAATCTAATACACTAGTGCGTTAAATTGAGAGAGTTGAAGACTGCCAATCATGGAGTTTTTAATGGCCTTCATCTTTGTTATTTCCCTCTCTTTTAATGGCCTTCATCTTTGGTATTTTCCTCTCTTTATATGAATCTTCCTCCTCCTTGCTTCCTTTCTTCAAACTCCTTTGATTTTTGCTTGCTTCCCGTTGTAGTTTTGGATTTTGAAGATGGGAAAGAGGGTGTAGCTCAATTTTTTAAGGAAAGAGAGAGAGCAAGATAGAGACTCAATTGTAGGGAGAGAAAGGGAGAGACGGGATAGCTGGATGAGGCAAAGGAATTAAATTTGCGTCATAGATTGACCGAAATAGTATGTTCACAAGGCTATTTATAGTCCTTTAAATGATAAGCTTGACTCGAAAAAAAGCAATCTATAAAATATGTAAAAGTCTCAAAGTACTTGTAAAATAGATTTGAATCATGTAATATGAACTATTTAATAAAATAAATCCTTATCTAAATGCTTATCACAAATTATTTTGATAATTGATAGGAATTATTTAAAGAAAATAATAGAATATTCCTTAGAATTCTCTCTTAAGGAGTGGCCAAACATAAGAAAAAAGGGGAGGATTATGTGGAGTGCTAGGTATCTCATTGATTCCTTAAGTTGGACTTGGACCATGCATCTCTTGTTTGGCCTCCCCCTCGGTTTGAAATTTTTAATTTGCTCTTTTGCATTTAAGCCCCCATTTTTTATCAATTGCATTCCCTGTCTTAGTCTTCTTTTGTTGAGATTTATGCTTGATGATGTAGCATTCTTTTAGTGATTTGAGTTTTTAAAAGCTTCTTGTATCATTCATCTTAGTTAGAATTCCACCATCATGAGGCTCTTGGACTAGGACTCTCCTCTTTGCTCCTATTTGTTCCTATAATTGTCCGCACTCATACTTGGGTGTGTCAGCTGGATTGATTTGACTTTATAGTAATGTCCTTTCTTTGTATATGCTTAGGTTGGTGAGGCACTGATTTCTTCATCTTCTTTAATAGCAAAGTCTTCTCCACTTATTGTAGCTTCTCCTCAATTTCTAGAAAACAACCTTTCTTCCTTTCAGATTTTTTTAAGCAGCTCTACAAAACTTTGGCTAGCCTTTTGATTATTGCTGGACTTTAGGATAGGAGTGGATGGTTGACAGACGTCTACTAATTTCTATCATAGGAGTAGTATAGATAAAATAAATATTAAGTAGAACATTTGCTTTTATTTAATTATTATAAGTAGTTGCAGGAATAGTACTTTTAAGCATAAGTTAGCTATCATTTTTTATGAGACAATATTTTGTGATTTTCTGTGTTAAATGGCTTCCCTTTTTCCCAATTAAGAGTTCCTTAGGGGATGTTTTGATGGAAGTCTTAGGGTGGAGTAAATCAAATTTAGGAGATTCGAATTTTTAGGTGTTTGATTAGAAAGAAAGCAAATTTAGAGTGATTTTGTTTTTGTTTTTGTTTTTGGAACTCCCCACATAGTTAATTTTCAATGTATTTGAAAATTTTCTTAATTTGGGAGAATTTCAAATATAACGCATATGCGAAACTTCATCTGCCGTTGCCTGGCACCGCCAACCATTGGCTCTCGTGGTTGCCATATTTCAAATATTGGTTTTACTTTGTAACTTATCAAACACATCAAAAAAAAAAGTTACTCTTAAATTTCTTTTACAAGCAACCAAACACAAAAAAAATATTTCAGATGCATGATTTTACTTTACATTATATTTTGAATTCATTATATTTCTAAACACTTACAACCAAACTACCGTTTAGAATAATGTGACGTACTTTTGGTGGAAAACTTGATGATGTTGGCCCATGGAATGTTTTGGAATTTATTTTAATATTTTTCTTATATTTGATTTTATGATCATATTTTTTCAATTTATGAAAGATTAAAAATATAAAATTTATGGGGCTTACCTCGTGCCTTGCTGATTATACCCCACCTCACGACAAGTAAAAATTCTCTATCTTTTAAAACATTCATAATTATTTTTACATGCATGTATTTCTGTTTCTAAGCCTTAATGAATTCTTTATTTAGGATCGTATTGCGTTACTAAACCTCTTTAATCATGAAATTGTGCAGGCACTTTATTTTTGCATCCCTTTCAGAGAACAATTACTGGAGTATTATTCAAATAACAAAAATGTTGCAGAAGTTGATGAAAATCTGCTTACATGTCTGGCAGATCTTTTCAATCAGGTAAATGCAGAATTTCAACTCCCTACGTCTCTCTCTCTCTCACACACATGCGCACACAGAAATTTGATCCCAGCAGGTTTCCTTTTTCTTCTCTATCTATCTCCAAATGCTTCTAGAAGTCTGCTAAAAAATTTTGATCAGGTAACTGCAAAAAGTCCCCTGCTTTCCTCTCTCTCTCTCTCACAGACACATACACGTAGATGTGTGCCAAGACGGGTTCTTGGGTTATCTTCTTCAATCCATAAGTATATTTTCTTTGTTGTTTCATTCAATTGTCATATACAGTTACACTGTAATGTGGAGTGTTTATGAGTTCAGCGTCACAATGTGCATCCTTGTTATGTGTGTTTCTTGCATGGTTTCTCTTCATCCTTATTTCAACAACACAAATCCAAGGACCTTTATCACCCCGACAAACTTTATAATATATTTTCCTTTATTCTTGTTTAGAGTTGCATTTCGTGTTCATTTTTAAATCCTTTTATATGCTGCTTATTTAAATCTGCTTCACTCAAACAACAACCATGCTTGAAATTGCTGGCATATTTTATCTTCAGTAGCTGCTACTCCCATTCTGTGTTACTGCATTCGTTTTAGAATTCATGTTCTCAAATTTACTCCATGCATCTTACATAGCATTATCAGTCCTTGTTTGTGTTTTCTGGTAGCCTGACTCTAGGTATAGTTGAACTTGCTGTATTTCTAGCAGTCTTTGTATTCAACACAAGATAATTCCTGATAGATAATGATGTCATTTGAAATTATTGAAATATTGGGTATCTACTAAATTGGATGCAAGAAAAGTACAGGCAAAAAGAAGTAAAATGTGTTCCTTACACATTACTCTAAATATAGGTATCACAATTAATAAATGGTTCAAAACCCAGGAACAAACTATCAATGAATCGTACTAAAATGTACAGGATCCAGGAACACCTATTATTTTCGCTAGATGAGCAATATTAAAAAGTATTGATATAACTCATACTTGCTAAGGCCTAAATACAAGGTATAGAGCATATAAATGCTTAATAAAAGATGACATTAGTTGGAAAGTGCCAACCGATGGTTGCTTCTCCCTGATTTGGTTGGAGGTATTGGATGGTGTCACTTTAATAAGGGCGCCCACCTCTTCCTAGTGGCGTGCAACACCTTAGATATAGTGGGACTTTTGGAAAATAAAATTTAATTGCATGCTCGGACTATCGATGTATACACTCATCTTTCCTAGATTAGTAGAGATAGTTTGCATAAAATTAACCAACTTTTGTTCTGGTCAATTTGAAGGTAAATTCTTAGGCATACAACCTTTCTTGTGAAAGCCCAACAGAATATCTCAGTGGATGTCGTGCAACCCGTAGAAATTGAAACAAAACATAAAAGCCAAGTATAAGGAACGACAACAACAGATAAAACCATATGCTAGCATGCTTGATTAATGGTAATAAATTTTGAACTGCAAGGAAGCTGCTATAATAAAATCACAAGTTGATACAATATTGCAACCACAATTCTATGCTACAACACTCATCAAAAGGTGTTCTACACTCAAACCTATATATACGTGCAACATAGAAAAAGACGATATAACAAGGGAGATTAATTGTGATATCCCGGGATCAAAGTACTGTTCAAATCAGTCTAACCCGATTAGAAGTTAGTTAATCTATTGAATTTTGATGTTTGAAATATTTTGCATATGCTTGAGAATGATCTGTATGCATGAAAAGGGTGATCTGAAGTGAATTCCAGGAGTCTAAATGCTTGCTTGTGAGATTTGAAAATTGTTTCCCTGGAGCGCCCCGACGCTGGAATAGTGGCAAGCTTGTCATAACCCAACTCGATATGACCTGATTTCATATAACTCATACAGTGTCAGATTGTGGCAAGATTGACCCCAAGATCTGATTGGAGAATTACTGAAGTAAAACTTCCAATTTATATGCTATATAGAGCCACTATTGAATACAAAATAAAGTGAAAGTCTATTGAATCCCAACGTAATTTTCTATATATCATCCAAAAATATATAATCTGAAGGCTATCTACAATAGTTCTTGGCAACTAGGAGTGTTAAAATCGGGTCACAGGTTAGGTTCGGGTCGAACCTGACATCGACCAGTTGTTGTTTGACCTAACTCGAACCAGACCCAATTTTGCAAAATGGTCAAAAATCTCAACCCAGATCCGACCTGCAAATGGTTGAGAAGTGACTAGCAAGCGGGTCCGGAGACTCCGGATGGCAGACGCAATCGGCGACGTGATCGCCTAAGCCAGTGAGTCACTGAGCAAGCCTAATGGCCCGAGCGAACGAAAGTGGGGCTATGCGCAGGCTGAGCGCGCCTAACGGCCTGGCGCCTAAGCCGCTGCGCTGAGCAAGCTAACGTCAGACGCAAACCATTCGCCACGCGGTCACGCGAAGTGGCGAAGTCGAACTCCTACTACGCACCGCCTAAGTGACGATCTAAGCGAACAGACTTTGGACGAGGTCACACGAGGCGAAGTCGAACCCAACAAACCAAGTATATCGATTTCGAGTTGCCAGGTTTGTAATGGCGGGTCAACACGAGTTAATTTAGGATTTCTGGGTCAACACGTGTTGATTTAGGGTTTCCGGGTCAACCAAAAACCGACCCAGTTTTGTAAATGAGTCAGAATCTCAAACCCAATCCGTATGACAAGTGAGTTGACCCGAACCCGGAATTTTCCTAGTCGGGTATGGGTTGGGTCAAATTTTGACACCCTTATTGGCAACAGAGAGAACAAAATAAAAGTCAAACCTATAAAAATCAAAATTAATCGAAACATACCTACAACACATAGTGGAGCCTGCTATTCAAACTACTCAGCTCGCTCCTTACCCTTTCCCGGGCCGGAAAATAAATGCAAAAGCAAGGATGAGCTAACACGGCTCAGTAGACTATCGCAGCCTAAAACAAAATTCATTAACTAAAATCAAAAGAATTGGAATCATATATTGAAATTGCATACAATTAAAGAAATACTAAAATTAAATAAATTATAAACAAACACTTCATAATGATTATCAAAATAATTCTTAAGCCCAAATTTTCATACATCTTCATTACCAAAATACCACCTTGGCACCCATTAACATCGACATAACAAAATCCTACCTCGGTCTCCCACTAGCACCGGCATCGCAACAGTTCAGTAACAGAATCTCACCTCAGTCGCCCACCGGCGCCAGCATCACAACACTTCGGTAATAGAATCCCAACTTGGTTGTCCGCTTGAACCGGCATCACAACACTTCAGTAACAGAATCCCACCTCAGTCGCCCAATGGCGAGGCATCACATCACATTAGAATACATCACGTCATATTTTTTCATATTATTCATTGCATATCATTAATTAAAATATAATTGGACTGAATTCAAAAATTGTCAAAATGCCCTAATGGTAGACAACAAAAATATTATTGAGCAAATATTCAGTATTTCAAAATATAATAAAATTATCAAGAGATTGTGTAAAATATTATTTTAAAGCTTTAATTGTATAGTAATATTTTTTTTATATGTCAAAATAAATTTTTGAGTAGACAAAAATTATTGTTTTTTCAAAATCAACTAGCAAAAAGTTTTCAAAATATATTCAAAATGTTCATAATCTCACTCTCTATAACATATAAAAAGTTACGCGGTAAAAGTTATATCAAAACAAAGTTATCTTCATTTTCGGTAACGAAAATTCAAATTTTATAAAAAAAATAAAAAACATCAAATTATTGAAAACTGAAATAGGCAAAACGTAACCTACCTCGAGACGAGCAAATTTCTCAATTGTGCCGACGGACAAAAATCACTCTACGACTATCAAAACTAAGCATTCTTCCTTCTCTCTCCTCTTTTTTCATTTCTCCCAAACGATTCTATGTTCATGAAAAATCAAATGCCATTTAATAAACTTTGTAATGGTTTTAGATTTTTTTAATATAAAATAATAATAACATTATAATAATATTATAATAAATTTGTAATATAAAATTCATTGAATTTTTTTTAGGGATTCAAAAAAATATAGAAAAATATCTATAAAATAATTTATTTTATTTAAAATTTTTGATGAAATCGATTTGCAAAATTGACACATAAATTTCCCAAATTCCCACTTCAATGGTAAGATGTCAATTTCTTAAGAAACTTCATCAGTGCTAAAAAATTATGAAAAAATTAATGACACTAAAATATCATAATAGATATGTTATGGCGAAGGCGGTTTATGATTTAAATTTATTGGTTGTTGTAGGTAAAAATGTATTTTTCAAAATTTTTTGAGTTATAACAAGTGTCGCTCCATCGCTATGAGTTCTGAAATTTGGAAATTAATTCAAAGCTGTTAATTTTTGAAGGAGTGCCTTCGCGCTGACTCTTGAAATGCTTTGGAGCACTGACCCTCTTTTTACACTTAAAATATCAAATTCAACAATTCCGTTATATTTCATTTCTTTTGTAGCTGAGCAACAGATAGAGGGAGAGAGATTTTGGAAAGAAAAGAAGAGGATTTGAGCCGCTTTTGTCTGTTATTTGTCGTCAACCTAGTTATATAAGTTGTTCGGATCGAGGTAGATCACATTATGTCTATCTAATTTAAAAAAAAAAACAAAGATTTTTTGAAATTTTTAATTAAATTTATATTTTTGTCACAAAAAAACGAGGATAAATTTGCACTAGTAAAACCTTCATCGCGTAATTTTTTGTATGTTATAGAGAGTGAGATTCTAAATATTTTGAATATTTTTTGAGAATTTTACACCTAGAGTTTTGAAATATATGCGGTTTTTATTGGATAGAAAATAATTTTGACTAAAAAAATAATGTCGTAGTATAATTAAAGTCTTAAAATAATATTATGCACAATCTTTGGTAATTTGGTTATGTTTTAAAAATGTAAATTTCTGTTCAACAAGATTTTTTGTTGCCTACCATTATAGCAAGTTGAGAAATTTTGCACTGATTTTCTTTATACTTTAATGGTTACATTAAAATGAAATATAAAGCTATTTGTAGCTTCAGCTGGTCATCATGAAGGCTAAGGGGCAAAGGTGAGTCACACTACAAGTATTATGATTGGTGCTACAGATTAGGAGAAGATTTGATCGCAATTAGTTTTCAAGTGGGAGATTGTTAGTTTTATGTCAAATATGATTGTGTCGATCAATCGGGTTGTATTGTTGACTCAGGCTTCAATTCTATCAGTTGAGCTTGATGAGGAGCTCGTTAGGGGGTTGCAAGGTGGCAACGCGCCCCCTGTTCAGGGGTTTGGGGGGTAAAGCTGCAAAAAAAAAGTTTGTCAGTATTGTCGTACAACAATGTGACATTGTATGATGGAGTACTGTAGGTCTTCAGGCTCAAGCTGGAGATAGATAGTGGAGTGCTGTGGCATTCTAACATTAGCGTTGCGGCACTGCAAGTTAGGCTTGATAAAGAGAGTGGAGCGTTGCAGCGCTGCAAATCAGGCTCAACAATTTTTTCTTTTATCTTCTTCTTATTTTACTGAAAGAGTTGCGTCCTTTGGATATTTTTAAGTGCGTCTCTTATCTGTTTTGAGTAGATTGATGTGTGTGAAGTGAAGAGAGAGTGTGAGAAAGAGATCTGTTCAATTTCTTTCTATTTTTATAGTGGATTTCTTAGTGTGGTGTCTTTGTGATTTTTTTCCCGATTTCGGGTTTTTTCACGTTAAATCCCTGTGTTCTTTTTTTTTTTTTTTTTCGGTGCACCTTAATTTTTCATTTTTGTTTTGTTGTGCGATTATACTTCCCAACAATGCATCTATGTAAATACATTCAATTATTAGTGTCTATAGTAAATTTTTAAATTCATATATCATACATACTTATGTATAATTATGCGCATTCCCATTCAATTATATTTTGTGTGCGAATTTGTAAATGGAAACATGTGTACTATACATGCATGCATGAAAAGATTGTTTAAAAAAAAAGTTAAAAAAATAATTTTCCCATAACACTAGCAAATAAATGCATGTTATATTTTGTCTAATTTGATATGGTACCACATTGTCCTGTTTGATAGTTTCAAATACATAACATGTGGTTTTTGCTATATGGTTTGCAAATACTCCTTTTGACATAAAATTCCAGGGTTTTAAAAATCGGACCGGACCGGTCGGTCCAACCGGTTCAATCGTGAACCAGTTTTAAGGTCGGTCCAGTTCATCCTAAAAACCTTTTCTGCATTGAATCGCCCAAAATCGTCGGGAACAGGCAAACCGCTGAATCAGTCACGGTTCTCTTGAACCGGCCAGTTCAATTTTTGAATTATTTGAATAATTCTATAAATTATTTTTAAATATTAAGTAATAGTTGTAATTTAATTTTAAATTACAAAATTCCAACTAAGCATTTCACAAGGCTTCATTACTTTATATGAGATATTACTCCATCCTAACTCATAAGACAATATAAAGCAAAAGCATTACCAAGAGATTGTTTCCCAAATGATGTGGAACTAAAAAAATTAAAGTTCTTACTTTTTAAGTTTGCAACATATGCTATATATTTTAAAATAGATTTTTTAAATAAATTGTTTATGATGTAAATAATTTTTTATTTTAATTAATTATGTTAAATGAATTATACTCTTCATTTGTACCCTGGTTTGATCGGTCGAACCGTGAACCTCTCTTTCCTCCAGTTTATTGTCCGATCTAATTTTCACAACCTTGTAAAATTCTTTGTTCCGGATTATCTGATATGTACTAAATTACAGCACCTTTTACTTCTCTTCATGGGAAGCAATGGATAGGCTTCCCCTCTTAGTTCTTCCATTACAGCAAAAAGCTTCCCTGTAGCTGAAATCGCTGAAATGTTCTATTAACCTATACCTATATTTTTAGTTGACTTGCTAAATTTGTCCTCTTAGCTGATGATTTATCACTAGTGCTTAGGATTTACTCGGGGGATTTTGCTAAGAGCGCTAGCAAGTACTGTGAAGTTGACATTAGGTAGTTTTATTAGAAAGTTCGATTATATGTGAAGTGGATAAACATTTCACCTGTGATTAATACTTGTGTTCTTCTTTGTACAGATCAACTCATCAAAAAAGAAGACTGGTGTAATTGCCCCTAAGCGTTTTGTGCAGAGAGTTAAAAAACAAAATGAACTTTTCCGCAGCTATATGCACCAGGTTATTTTTCTGAATAGATTTTTTTATGCTTCTTTCGTATAAATATTGTTTTAGGATGTTGATAGCATGTGACTTCGAGATGTTAAAATCATATTATTTTTTGCATCAAAGTTATCTTGAGCTGAATCAACTGATTAAACTAATGATCCACTTTCTATTAGAAATATCTTAAACTTGAACTTTTATTTTATCCAGTGAACGTACGCTCCTCTACGTTCGGATCTAGGCAAAAAAAGCGCAATACCGAGTACCGAGTTGTACCGAGTTTTTTAAAAAACGCTGTTTTGATCTAAAACTGAACTTAGAGGAGCGTACGTTCACTGGATGTAATAAAAGTTCCTTAAACTGAATGTGAAAGAGATATGCAGACTGCAAATTTTTAATGTATTTGCATTTTTTTTTTGAACGATGCATTCTTTTTCTAGGAATAACCTTGTGAGCCATCACTGCTGTCACCCTGCCACTTTCTACTACATTCTACTTATTTAGTTGGTTGCTTGACAAATAATTTTAGCATATATGTGGAACTAGTCAAGCAGGAGAAACTTCTAAGAGATGATGCCGTTTTCTTATTCTTATAAATTAATCTTCATTCATTTGCAAGCAGCAGGTGGATAGAGTACGCTAATTGAATTTTACTACCAGGTCTAGTAGTTGTTCAACAACATAGTCACACATTTGTGAAGAAATTAAGCCTTTATGGATTCTGCCAATCTAGCCAAATCCAAAGGCATCCCATTATAATTTAACTGTTACGTCAGAGTTCAGATCATCATTCTTGTATTACTTATTGGATTGGGCGATCCTTTGGACCTTTTTGATGAAATTTTCTTGTCGCTTTTGTGAGGTTTCCGCATATATTGGTATGTGCCACATATATTATGCTAAGCTATGATGGATGACAATAAATTCCATTTTACTAGAACTCCACTGTCAGAAACTATTAGTTTGATGCTTGGTCCATTTTAATCCTGTACTCATCTGAGAGATCATGAGTGAACAAGATTTATCTTTTTCTGTCCAGGATGCTCATGAATTTTTGAATTTCTTGCTTAACGAGCTTGTTGACATTTTGGAGAAGGAGGGAAATGATATCAATGATTCTCCTGGAACCTCATCACAAGCAGAACAAAATGTAAATGGGCCAGTTCATCTACAAGAGAATGGAGCAAAGAAAGAACCTCTCCTTACCTGGGTCCACAAAAGTTTTCAGGTAAATAAACTTATCAGATTGTAATTCACTCCATTATTTTTTTGTGATACTCTTTCTTCTTCTCTTGGGTTTTAGGATAGTTTTATCTACTTTATAAATATACTGTGCTGTTATTCACAGGGCATATTGACTAACGAGACAAGATGTCTAAGGTGTGAAACTGTCACTGCTAGAGACGAGACTTTTTTAGATTTAAGTCTTGACATAGAGCAAAATAGTTCCATCACAAGCTGTCTCAAAAACTTCAGCTCTACAGAGACATTGAATGCTGAGGACAAGTTTTTCTGTGACAAATGCTGCAGGTTAGTTTTGCAACAATTCTCTTTTTTTAAAACAGATTAATTAGGTTTTTCTTGGTCTTTGATGATAATATAGAGGAGCCATGCTACCCCAAATTTAGAGAAAACGGCTTGGTTCACCCACCCTGTTGAGATAAAGGGTAAAAAATTAATATGATGGCATTCAAATGTTTTAACTGACTTAAATTAGTTTTTGTTTGGGCCTGCTTATGTGTTATTAAAATCTATTTTTTAAACCATAATTTTAATTATGCTTTCTCAAAACAACATTTTTTAGATAATTTTAAAAGGGTGTGAAAAGTTTCTTCCACAGCATGGCTGTTGTTCCTACCATAAAATAAGTCAAAAGGTGGTCCAAAATGAATACTTAGGTTTCGTTTAGGACGTTTTTTTATTGCTTCTTAAAACATCTTTCTAGTTTAAAAATTAAAATTTTTATACTAGAAAGCTGTCCCAAACGAAGTCTTAAGCTTGTGCTTCCAGCTAGTTTTGTAAGCTCCTTGATATTGATCAATTACTGGTCAGCTTGTCTAACCAGTATATATATATTTTAATGGTTTAGCTTGCAAGAAGCTCAGAAAAGAATGAAGATAAAGAAGCCTCCAAACGTCCTCGTTATTCATCTCAAGCGTTTCAAGTATATAGAACAACTTGGGAGGTACAAAAAGCTCTCTTACCGAGTAGTCTTCCCCCTCGAGCTGAAACTCAGCAACACTGTAGAGAATGCTGATTCTGAGTATTCTCTCTTTGCTGTTGTTGTTCATGTCGGAAGTGGGCCCAACCATGGTCACTATATTAGCCTTGTTAAGAGCCACAATCATTGGCTGTTTTTTGATGATGAGAATGTAGAGATGATGGATGAATCCCATGTTCAAACATTCTTTGGTTCAGCACAGGAATATTCTAGCAACACAGACCATGGCTACATCCTCTTCTATGAGAATCTTAGTGTTGGGAACTAGGTATGTTATTTTTATTTTTTTTCTCCCTTTTTTCTTAACTTTCTTGAGGTTTATGGGGTTTCATTTTACCGTTGTTTCTCAATTTGTTTACCTTATCACATAACATTTAAAAATCCGAAAGGTCAGCTTCGAAGTTTTTTATTTTTATGTTTTTGGGTGTACAGTAAATGGTAGTAAGACTCCATTGATTTAATAATGAAAGGACTGTACATTGGGTTGTTTCGAGAATGGAGAATCCTTGTATTTTCACAGCTGAATTATTTATAATAGAAATGAAGTTGGCCTGGACAAGCTTTTTTGAGTTGCTAGAAACATTTTGGTCTTCAGTTGTGGTATTCTCAGTCAAATTTGATTAAATTTATTTTGTTCTAAATTTAGTATAAGATTTGATGTATCGTTATCATTTTAAACTAAATGTAATGATTATGAAGCTTATTCTTGCTGACATGCTCTTTGATTGATCTGTTGTGTTACTGCTTCTATTTCGCACTGCAATCAAAATATAGATCAAGGTTTTGTTTGGGATCATTTTCTTATTATTTTATTTTTCAGTCACTATTTTTTTTGTTGCTTAAAAAAAAATTATTAGGAAGTTATTCTTTATAACAGCTTTCCTACTGCAGTTTTACAAAAGAAAAACATGTGAGGTATTTAGAGCTGTTGCTTTGTATTAATTATTTTGTGTGGACAATGAACGTCATCCAGAGACCAATCAGAATGAGCTACGTCACCCTTTCGCTCAGTACCGTTTGGTACCGTGGCTCAATACAGCTGATGTGGTTGCACCTGATTCGTCTTCGAACATTGAACTGTGTGTGACCTCCATAGAATAATTTCTCGCCGCTTTGACTATGTTGCCTGCCTCGTTCTTTCCTTTTGATTTGCTGGACTCTTTTGTTCCATAACGGTTCTTTGGTTGCCTTTTTGGCACCTTTTGCCTAGTTGATTCTATGGCTGATGCATCGCTGCGTTTTCTAGTGTTTGTTTTCTGGGCTGCTTTACTCATTAAGTGATTTTGTTTATTGGTGTGGCCTCTTATGATGGGGCCTCTTAGGCTTGGCGGTTTTTGGATTCCTATTGGATTTTGGTAGGCTTATGATGTTTTCCATCACCACTATTCATGGCTGCACACTACACTTTGATTTTGTGGCTGTAAAAGCTTTCCTTTTTTTTATTCTTTTTTTTTTCCTGTTTTTTTTAGCTAGTATTGGAAAATATATGGACTTGGCTAGCTTCTTTTTTCGCTATAATGTAAGCATTCATCTTGATTTGAAGTAATTGAGTTTTGACTCTTAATTTTCAATATATATATATATATATATATATATATATGTTTTCTTGTTGTTTCTCTTCATAAATTAATGGTGTTATAGAGCTTTTTATTATTATTTAGTTAGAGTAGAACTAAGGTAATGGCAGTCATTTATGGAGATATTATTCTGTGCGAAGGCCGGATGCGGCTCTACATTCGGAGGCCAATCATAATACGTCATGTCAACGGTACCGAGTAGTGCTCAGCCGCGGTGTCGAGCAAATGGGTAGCGTGGTACATTTTGGTTGGTCTCAACAGCGTTCGACGTCTGCGCAGAATAATTAATCCTATTTATGAGCATTTTTTACAATGGAAGAAAAATACCCAAATTGAATACTTAGAAGTCCTTTCAAAGCTCTGCTACAAAGTTAATACACAAAAATAGGAAAAAAAAAATAAAAATAACTCTTAGATATTTGGAAGAACGGAACTTAGATTTTGTTTGGGATAACCTTTGGCTATTATTTATTTGTTGCTTTTAAATAATATTTATGTTATAATTTTTTTTTAAAAAGCAGTAAAAAAATTGCCCGTAATAAAAGTTTAGAAGGATTAAAACTCTCAAATAATATAAAAAAAATTAATAGCATCTTGCACACCAATTACCAAACAGGCTATCCAAGAGATGCAAGTATATAATTGACTGGGCCAAAATATTTAATTAGACTCATTTTAATTTCATTAATCTAATAATAATGTATGTAAAACTCAAATAATAAATATAATAAAATACAGCTACAATATAATTCTTCTTCTTTTGAATGGCCTCCCATTTCAATCCATTGAAGAAAAAATAAGGGGCTTGCTATTTTAAAATACTTGATAATTGAGCTCGTATATTTGGAGATTAAATTTTATAAATTACTAATTATGTTTTAAATAATTTTTTAATTTAAAGGCATTTTAAAAGCATTTATATTTTATTTAAATTTTGATATTAAATTAAATATATTTGATATTTTAAAGTATATTATTTTCATTTGTATTGCATATCTAATAATTTAATTTATGCAATAATTGTGCCAATCATTGTGACAATCACTTGTGAGCAGCCATAGAAGAGTCAATAAGTCTATTAAAAAAAATCAATAATTTGAAAAATAGAAAAAGTTGTTTAAAAATATTATACGACTAAATCAATTAAATTTAAGAAAATGTCTTTTTTTTGAAAATTTTATTGTTAATTTATTTAATTAGATATTTATGTGATATTAATTTTTAAGGTAGTTCTTTTGAATATAGTTTTTTCTCATGTTGGATTTTTTAAGAAAAAAATTTCCTCTTTAGTACAGACTTCCAAAATCTGAACTAATGAGCAATTTTGTTCAGCTTTTAAGTAGATAAAGATATCAAAGAAAGAAAAAAGAGTGGCATAAAATTCTAGAAAAAATTATACTGATTAAAATTTAAATATAATAAATTTTAAATTTATTTTTGCTGAGTGTCAGCAAATTCATGTTAATAAAATTCAAAATTTTAATTCATAACGAATAACTAAATAACAATTATTTTAAAAAAATTTAGTTAATAAATCTTCTTAAACTACTAATTGCCAGCTCAATTATCAATTATTTTATTTATTTAATAAAATATAATTTGCTATGCCCGCTTATTTTTTCTTCAAGTAGGCCAGTCAGTGCGACAGAAGGGGTAGGCAGAAATGGGGCGGCCGTTGAACAGAAGAAGAGCGGATGGGCTGCCCGGCATAGTTGATATCGGCTTTGTCGCCGGAGAGATGGAGGAGGAGATGGCGCGGCCGCTAAACTTTGCGGTTGTGGAAACCGGAGTTTTCCGGTCGGGATTTCCTGAGGCTGGGAATTTTAGTTTCCTACGAAGTCTGCGCCTTCGCTCTGTCGTGTGAGTATTATTTTTTTCTTGGAATTTTGTTTAATTTCTTTGACTCGTTTTCTGTTTGGGCAATGTATTGAAGTGGTGATTTCAGGTATTTGTGCCCGGAGCCGTATCCGGAGGCCAACTTGGAGTTCTTGGAGGACAATGGAATCAGGCTTTTTCAGTTTGGAATTGAGGGCCATAAGGTAAATGGGGTGAGATTATTTCAAATTTTTAAATGGTTTAGCTTTTTGCTTGCTTTGCTGCTTCTTAGCGTTTTAATGTTTGGCTTGGTTGTTTTTTTAGGCTGGAATTAATAGTATTTCCTAAGTTTGGAAATTAAAGGGGATTCTGGTCCTTTGTTTTGTGCTATTGTGGCGTCTTGTGGCCAAAAGTTGTGAAAGCTAGATTATGTTTTTGTTTTTCTATTAGGGATAGGATTAGACTTTGTTTGGGATGGCTTTCTTAATGCTGCTTAAAGTAACTTTCTAGTATAAAAATTTTAATTTTTTAACTAAAAAGTTGTTTTAAGAAACAGTGAGAAAGTTGTTCCAAATAAAATCTGAGTTGTATAGAAGTGGATGAGATGCATAAAAGAGAAGCATAATATTGATTCATAAAGACATCTATAATTAGTTGACATATGGCATATGGGATGATGATGATTATATCCATCATATTACCCTTTTAGTTTGATTAATATTCTTCACTTAGATTCAATGCCTGTCCATATGGATACCACAATTCATACAGCTTTGTATTTAATAATCTTGTTCAAGAAATATTGTAGATTGTAGGCCATTTCAAACTATTTATACAGTATCAGCACTATTGTCATTGGCGATGTTATATTCATTTGACTTCCTGAACAGTGGTGGAAAACTGGCTTATTTTTGCTTCATGTCTCCTTGTGTTCTATCCATATTTTCGCTATCCCGAACCAGTGTAAGTTATTTGACTTTTCTCACTTTCCGGTTCCATTAGCTACTGTTACAAACTTTTTTAAATAGGTTTTGTTATGGAGAGATTATTATATGGGTTTTCGAACACATCCAGATGACGTGGCAATCCGGAAGCGCCACGTAATCCGAATGGCCTCTAGATGCGTCCGGACAATGCATGTAATAATTTTTCCTTGTTGCGTGGAAGTAAAATAAATAAGGAAGACTTTTATATCACCCGCATCACTTCCTTTTATATATTTTTTGGACTTCTATAATGCTCTAATTTTTCTGAGCCCAATTATGCATTTCATTCACTGGCACATGTGAATTATTTCTTAGTCAACTATTTGAATTTTCTCACCAGTTTTTCCGGTTTCTTGTCCTACTATAGCTGTTTCTCTGCAATTGCTTCTCATCTTTTTTTATTAAAATCAACTCATCAAGCTCTTCAACACACCCAAAAAAAAAATCTAGCTGTACCCTTGATAAAAGAATGAATTTCTTGTCATTTTAGAAGCATCAAAATGCTAAATCCGAAGCTTCCTTTCAGGAACCATTTGGCAATAACATCCCAGAAGAAATGATTCGAGAGGCTCTCAAAGTTGTTCTTGGTATTTAGACACACGCAATTAGCTTCTGAAATTTGTTATTCAGTTTAATACTATACACTAACTTGAATTTTACACAGATGTTAGAAACCACCCTCTACTCATCCATTGCAATAGAGGAAAGGTACTGGCTGAAAGCCAAAAACTCTTCACTGATTCCCTTCCAATACCTGATTATTTACAAACTTAATATTTAACCTTAACTTTTACTAATTTTTCATATTTCCCTCTTCAGCATCGAACTGGATGCGTCGTAGGATGTTTGAGGAAACTTCAAAAATGGTGCTTGTCTTCAGTATTTGATGAGTACCAGAGATTTGCTGCAGCCAAAGCAAGAGTTTCTGATCAGAGATTCATGGAGTTGTTTGACATTACTAGCTTGAAGCATCTATCACCACCATTTGGCCTTCTGAAAAGCTCAGCAGTTGCTTGAAGAAGTGGAATTGAAGGTGGATTTACTTTTATTATGTTCAAAAGAACTATTTTCATGAAAGTAATGATCTCCAATTTATGTTTAGGTTATAAATCGATCAATTGTGTAAACAACTGAAGTGTCTGCTTAGTTTCTCTCTGGGAGAATATTGGCTGGTAGAGATACTTAGGGAAATTGCAAGTGGCATTCTTTTTTTGAGATCCCTTGCAGATTTTTGTGTCCTGCAGTGGTAAGTGTACTTCAAAAGGTCCTGTTACTGAGTTCTGAATCCATTTTTATATTATGATGAAGCATCTAACTTACTTTTGTATGCTTTAGGATAACCTTTGGATAGTTTATTGCTTGGTTTCTGTTGTTAAAATGTTGTTAGGACCTCATTTAAGAAGATTTGAAAGTTAACTTAGAACTTTAAAAAGATAATTGTAGCAATAATAGTCTGAGTGTGCTACTCTCTACTTCCATCCCAAGTTCTGTTTGCTCTTAATATGAGGGTTTTTTATTCAAGTTTTTAATAGGGGAAAAAACTTGATGGATTATAGAAACTTGATTGATTAGCTATATATTATGACTTATTTAACTGTCTTAAACTTAATTAAGAAGTTGTAAAAGACATCTTAATGGAATAGGCATGAGAACATGCTCAATTTTGATTTTATTAAAAATTTAAAAAATTGTTTAAATTGGTGCATCATATTATATTAATTAATCAGACTGAATTAATAAATGAACCATTATTATAATTAGCCTCACAAAGGTTATCTCAGATAACTAATGAACAATCATTTTGAGCAATGAGATTTGTCACAAAGGTTATCTCACATTTTATATTTTTCGGCATGATATCAAATTAAAGTTGGGATTTTTTTCTTTTGGTCTTTTTTTTTTCTCTAAGTTCTGTCAAATATCTTTAGCGCAAATCAGTTATGTAAAATTGGCCCAAACATCAAGTTAGCCAATTTCATTAAAAATTATCCACTAAATATTAACAACAAGCTGATATTGGGCCAAAACTATTCTGTTCAAGCACATAAATGGTTCAAATGTATTTCTAACTAAGGCTTCATTTGGAGTAACTTTCTTATTACTTTGAGTACAAAATTTTTTGTTGGAGAAATTTTTGTACTGAAAAGCTGATTTAGAAAGCAGTAAGAAAGCCGTCTCAAATGAAGTCTAAGGCTTCGTTTGAGACGGCTTTCTTGATGCTTCTTAAAACAGTCTTTTAGTTCAAAAATTCAAATTTTTGTGCTAGAAAGCTGCTTCAAAAAGCAGCAAGAAAGTCATCCCAAACGAAGCCTAAGACTTCATCTGAGACAACTTTTAGCCTTTTTTTTTTTGGTTGCTTTCAAAAAACTTTATACTAAATTTTTTTTTGTAGAAATTAATAAGAAAACCATCTCAAACTAAATCTATGTCTAAGGGTTTAAATATTTAAAATAATAAATTTTCTGCATCCCTCTGATTCACATGAAAATAACCTAAGATGAGCTTAGCAATTTAATTGTGCTCATGTTCATACCCTAAGAAATAAATGAAAATACCATTACAAATAGTCAAGCTAGAATTTTGACTTGGTTACAATCTCTTTTTATCTTCAATTAAATGATTCATCACTTTGACTAATCCTAAAAGAATATAGCTAAATGGTTTGAATACATGTAATGAATACACATTATAAATAGGCCATATGTTACAATTCTACCAATGCAGCCAATAAATGAGACATTACCAATACTTGCAACAACTATGCAATATTATCATTAAAAAAAAATTATAACAGGATATTATAATATAATAAAATTATTAAATTTATTTTGAAATTAATATAATAATTTTTTATATATATAACACTAAGTTCAAATTACTCCAAAATAAATATATAACAACAAGAAATATTTATCTTAGTAAGAGAGGCCAGTTTATTAAATTTTTTTTCTTCATTTTGTCTTATTAGGAGCCAAATTCTCATTTAAATCTAATAAAATTTTATTTTTAATACTTTATAATCAAGTCTTTTTTTAAGTTACACATTTACCTTTCTTAACATAAGTTGAATTACATCTACTCTCCTAATAAGGTCATTAGAAGAGCAATATTTAAGTGACCAAACCATCTAAGACAACTCTATCTATTCTCTGCTACCAGAGCTACTCTAACATTTTCATATGTTTACTCATTTTGAATTCTATCTCAAAATGTAAAACTATTCAACCACCTAAGCATCGTCATCTCTGCAACACTTAACTTAATTTTATGCTTAGCTTTTAATCACCAACAATTTGCACCATAAAACATTACAAGCCTCACCATCATCTTATAAAATTTTCCTTTTGAGTCTGAGGGATACTTTTTTATCATACAATAGTCTTGATGCAATCTAATTCAACCATCTAATTCAAATTCTACTAATAATATTTTCATCTATTAAACCATATCTTTGAACAATAGACTCCAAATATCTAATACGTGCAGCACTCTTCTAATGACTCGATGACTCAATATTAAAATCCCACCATTAGATCTATTACTATTAAAATTATACTCCATGCATTCAATTTTAGATCAATTCAAACCAAAATCTTTAGATATAATGATTTGCAAATTTATTCTGATGAATTTTATATTAGGATATGATTAAAACAAATTCATTATTATCAAATAGATGCCCTCTTCATTATCATTTTTAATATAACTACTTCAATAAAAACTTATGTTATATTTATCTCTCCAACATCAAACTTGAACAAAGAACAAGAAACCAGATTGAGCAAATTCAGTTCTCATTATCAATCTATTAAGAACAAAGATCATCAATTCAAAAGCAAAAGTGATTACTAACCAATTAGTTATGAAAGATCGATAAAGTCTCTAACCAGTATCCATGCTCTCTTTTAGAAAAATTTCCACTTTTTGGCCTCCAAAGCATACTCTCCACCCAATATTAGGCATCTCCTCTAGCAGAACAAGCAATGAACATCACTCACATAATTAATCTCTGCTTGCTAGTCACAATTCGTCTTTTGAAGCAGTGGCATCGTCACCCATCAGATCTTCAAGGGAGAACTCATCCTCTTCAGTGACCTCTCCATCCTTACCATCCCATGCTTCTGTTTGAACAATGGAGGGAACTTTCTCAAGGGGCAAGTTTCCCTTCCCACCTTGCCCTGCTTCCTTCACGAACTCACTGTAAATTATACTTTACAGTCAGATTCATTGCCAATGCCATCAAAACTGAGAAAAGAGAAACTTACTTGATCTGTTGGAGCTGAAAAGCACTTCGAAGAGGGGCATAAGCGCGTTTCTTGACATTAAGGGCAACCAAAGCTGGGTAGCCATAACCACCCACACCAACCTGCTGCTCCAGATCAGGCTGCTTTCCAGCAGCAGCCCAAACATAGCTGTGCATAAGAAAAATTAGTTAAATAGCAGTACTAATCATAAATTATTTCTATATTTTTCTGAACAGTTAACAAGAAGATTCAATAACTGCACTGATGAAGTTTATATCAGTAAAAGGATAATATGCTAGGTTCTATAACACTGTGAGTCTCAAAATTTCATATAAATATCTCAAAATTTAATGATACCTGTAATAATTAATGATAAATTTGATTTTACGAGAGAGAATGCAATAGTAGCATTTAATTAAGAGAAGTGGAAAATAAAATTTGATGCTTAGGCATGCATAATAGAGGGTAGAAAAAAAATTCATAAAGTAAGAACATTAAGGCTTCGTTTGAGATGGCTTTCTTACTGCTTCTTAGAGCAGCTTTCTATTATAAAAATTTTAATTTTTTAACTAAAAAACTACTTTGACAATAAAAGAGTTATCCCCAAGGAAGCCTAAATAAACACAAAAGGATTATATGCCAACATGGTAGATAATAATAAAATAAGTAGAAGTTGTGCAAAAATACCTATCCAAACAAATTTCACGCATAAAGAAGCAAAACTCAACAAAAATACCCATCCAAATAATTGGGATAAGGCTAATGATGTTGATAATGATAATGATTTGCAGGTAAATTTACCTGTATGGGCTTCGTTTGAATTTTTCAGCAACTGATAACAGGAGGTCAAGGTACTTGTTTCTTCCCTCTGCCTTCGAATCCAAGATATCTGGAAGGAAAGCCACAAAACATATAGCAGCTGTTGCACACTTTTCTTCCATCACGTCCTACATGAAAGAACAAACTATCACATACATGAAGGCCACTTTAAGGTTTAGTAAGATAAGATGCAGGCAATGGCATCTTACAGGTCCAGATAACTCTAACACTTCGGGGGGAGATACATTGGTCTCCAACTGCTCTAATGCAAATGATTCAATTGCTGAAGCAGCCCTTGCACCTTCATAGGGGAATGGGCTTTCTTTGTCAGCCCCAAACACCAGAATTGTGGGGAATCCTTGTACGTTAAACCTGCTCATCAAGGACTGTTACCTTGCATGTTAGTATATGGACTTCAAAAAGAAGTGCTAGTTAGCTTTAAGCATTCAACATCTAATACAATGCATTTTCAATGAAAATTATGTTACCTTCTCTGCATCACAATCAACATGGCCCAATTTGACCTTCCCCTTCAAGTTATTTGCTGCTTTCTTCCATTCTGGTGCAAGTTTTTTGCAATGCCCACACCTGAACAATTAAAAGGAATAAATATAGAGTGTCTCAGTCTGGAAGGACAAGTCGCCATGATAGGAATGAGCTCAAAAAGGAAATTTTCATATGAAGGGCACTTAATGTATTTTAGACCCCAGCAAGGAAAGTAAATCGAATTGAGGGTAATTTTTTATCAATTTAGAAGCGGTTATTGTTTTGGGCAGTTGTTGACTCTAAATTTCATCTCTATTCATTTTTGTAGTAATAATGCAGCTGTAATGATAAAACTCATGTAATACTAATTATAGAATATGATTGTATGCATCATGGCAGTCCTTAGTGAGTCACGTGAGTCCGTAAATCTGTTATAAGTTTATAACATGAGTAAACCAAAAATAGAAGAGTTAATAAACCATCAAAAGCTCATCCATCAACTCATACACCAACACCATTTGTATCAGCAACTATGTCGCTCCAATTTGCTATTCGTAGTTTATTAAAGCTAAATGAGCTCACTCGGCCAAAATTGCAGGTGATGGAATGGGAGGGAAAATGGAAAATGAACAGAACAAAAAAATGGAAGCAAGGGTGAGGGAAACAGCTCATATAAGCTCTTTTTGAGTTTCACATATATGCCATACAAGTATGCCGCATATCCGGCTACTTTATTCCTTTATTGGAGGCTCCTTATCCGGTTTCCATAGCTAGTTACTTGGTCCTGCACTTGCTTCAAGTTTTGTGGGTTATGTATTCAAATGGTTGTTTTTTGGGTGGGTCATGAAGCTCCTCTATAAGACTGTTGTGTCTTCTTGCAAGACTAGAGAAAAAATCAGCGGTTTTAGCTGTAGCAATGATTCCTCTAATTTGAAGCAACAATAGTTTATTGGATGAATTTTTTTATGCATTAAATTGGATGATTTTTTTTAATTACGATTAGGTATTTAAAAAATATTATAAATTGTGGTATATAAAACATACAAAAAAAAGAATTTATAGTAAAATAAAATAAATTGATGTATGAGATTTGAAAATTTCAGAGGATTATCTTTTTTTATAAGAGTAGGTCTTATTTTTATGGTAATTTCTTCCTATTTCTTATTTTATTCCTCTCTTCTTCTAATCGTTTTTTTGTTATTGGATGAAAGAGTGCTTGAATTTTGTTAAGTTTCTTGTAATCTCTTTTTTTTTGTGTGTGAAATGTCAATTGTGTGTTTTGTGCTACTTACCTTTCTTGTCAATAATTTTGAGTGCATGATAATAAATATTTTATCATAAGTGAATTTTATTGCTTTTAAGACTGCATTGAAAATAGAAAATAGTTGTTAAATCTTATGAAAAATGCATGTTTGCCTCATTGTTTTATTGCGTCTAGAACTACATTGCTTGCTAGATCTACATTAAAAGTCCTAAATCCTAAAACATCTAACATCAACAAGACTTTGACATGAATATCATTAAAATCAGCCTAAGCAAGGCTAATCCAAGTCTCCTGATCAATAGTTTGACAATAAAGCACAAAAAAATATTAATTCATGATTTGAAACAAGCAATACCTACAAATGACAGCTTAAAAGTTCAAAAAACATTGTTAGATTATAATGGGAAAAAAAAACAATCTAATTCAACCATCTAATTCAAATTCTACTAATAATATTTTCATCTATTAAACCATATCTTTGAACAATAGACTCCAAATATCTAATACGTGCACTCTTCTAATGACTTGATGGCTCAATATTAAAATCTCACCACTAGATCTATTATTATAAAAACTATACTCCATGTATTCAATTTTAGATCAATTCAAACCAAAATCTTTAGATATAATGATTTGCAAATTTATTCTGATGAATTTTATATTAGGATATGATTAAAACAAATTCATTATTATCAAATAGATGCCCTCTTCATTATCATTTTTAATATAACTACTTCAATAAAAACTTATGTTATATTTATCTCTCCAACATCAAACTTGAACAAAGAACAAGAAACCAGATTGAGCAAATTCAGTTCTCATTATCAATCTATTAAGAACAAAGATCATCAATTCAAAAGCAAAAGTGATTACTAACCAATTAGTTATGAAAGATCGATAAAGTCTCTAACCAGTATCCATGCTCTCTTTTAGAAAAATTTCCACTTTTTGGCCTCCAAAGCAGACTCTCCACCCAATATTAGGCATCTCCTCTGGCAGAACAAGCAATTAACATAACTCACTCACATAATTAATCTCTGCTTGCCAGTCACAATTCGTCTTTTGAAGCAGTGGCATCGTCACCCATCAGATCTTCAAGGGAGAACTCATCCTCTTCAGTGACCTCTCCATCCTTACCATCCCATGCTTCTGTTTGAACAATGGAGGGAACTTTCTCAAGGGGCAAGTTTCCCTTCCCACCTTGCCCTGCTTCCTTCACGAACTCACTGTAAATTATACTTTATAGTCAGATTCACTGCCAATGCCATCAATAACAGGATGAATTCTAAACTGAGAAAAGAGAAACTTACTTGATCTGTTGGAGCTGAAAAGCACTTCGAAGAGGGGCATAAGCACGTTTTTTGACATTAAGGGCAACCAAAGCTGGGTAGCCATAACCACCCACACCAACCTGCTGCTCCAGGTCAGGCTGCTTTCCAGCAGCAGCCCAAACATAGCTGTGCATAAGAAAAATTAGTTAAATAGCAGTACTAATCATATTTATTATAAATTATTTCTATATTTTTAGGAACAGGCAAGATTCAATAACTGCACTGATGGAGTTTATATTAGTAAAAGGAAGATATGCTAGGTTCTATAACATGCCGGAAGTAATAACCTTCAGTTGTTCAAAGCAAAGGTGGACGAAAGCCATTAGGAATTAGCAAAGGAAATTAAGCATGGAAAGAATGGAATAAGGAGATGAACATGGATGACAAAATTTTTCATCGGCTCTTCTAAAAAAAAAAAATTAATATCTCAACAACTTTTATCTTAACACTGAGAGTCTCAAAATTTCATATAAATATCTCAAAATTTGATGATACCTAAAATAATTAATGATAAATTTGATTTTACGAGAGAGAATGCAATAGTAGCATTTAATTAAGATAAGTGGAAAATAAAATTTGATGCTTAGGCATACATAATAGAGGGTAGAAAAAAAAATCCATAAAGTAAGAACATTAAGGTTTCGTTTGGGACGGCTTTCTTATTGCTTCTTAGAGCAGCTTTCTAGTACAAAAATTTTAATTTTTTAACTAAAAAGAAGCTTTGAGAAGCAATAAAAAAGCTATTCCCAACGAAACCTAAATAAACACAAAAGAATTATATGCCAACATGATAGATTAATAATAAAATAAGTAGAAGTTGTGCAAAAATACCTATCCAAACATATTTCACGCATAAAAAAGCAGAACTCAACAAAAATACCCATCCAAATAATTGGGATAAGGCTAGTGATGTTGATGATGATAATGATTTGCAGGTAAATTTACCTGTATGGGCTTCGTTTAAATTTTTCAGCAACTGATAACAGGAGGTCAAGGTACTTGTTTCTTCCCTCTGCCTTCGAATCCAAGATATCTGGAAGGAAAGCCACAAAACATATAGCAGCTGTTGCACACTTTTCTTCCATCACGTCCTACATGAAAGAACAAACTATCACATACATGAAAGCCACTTTAAGCTTCAGTAAGATAAGATGCCGGCCATGGTATCTTACAGGTCCAGATAACTCTAACACTTCGGGGGGAGAGACATTGGTCTCTAACTGCTCTAATGCAAATGATTCAATTGCCAAAGCAGCCCTTGCACCTTCATAGGGGAATGGGCTTTCTTTGTCAGCCCCAAAAACCAGAATTGTAGGGAATCCTTGTACGTTAAACCTGCTCATCAAGGACTGTTACCTTGAATGTTAGCATATAGACTTCAAAAAGAAGTGCTAGTTAGATTTAAGCATTCAACATATAATACAATGCATTTTCAATGAAAATTATGTTACCTTCTCCGCATCACAATCAACATGGCCCAATTTGACCTTCCCCTTCAAGTTATTTGCTGCTTTCTTCCATTCTGGTGCAAGTTTTTTGCAATGCCCACACCTGAACAATTAAAAGGAATAAAATAACACTGAAATCAGAGTGTCTCAGCCTGGAAGCACAAGTAGTCATGATAGGAATGAGCTCAAAAAGGAAATTTTCATATGAAGGGGCACTTAATGTATTTTAGACCCCAACTACGAAAGTAAATCGAATTGAGAGTAATTTTTTTATCAATTTAGATGAGGTTATTGTTTTGGGCAGTTGTTGATTCTAAATTTCATTTCTATTCATTTTTGTAGTAATAATGCAGCTACAATGGTAAATCTCATGCGATACTAATTAGAGAATATGATTGTATGCATCATGACAGTCCTTAGTGGGTCACGTGAGTCCGTAAATCTATTATAGCATGAGTAAACCAAAAATAGAAGAGTTAATAAACCATCAAAAGCTCATCCATCAACTCATAGACCAACACCATTTGTATCAGCAACTATGTCGGTGCAATTTGGTATTAGTAGTTTATTAAAGCTAAATGAGCTCAGTCGGACAAAATTGCAGGTTATGTAATGGGAGGGAAAATGGAAAGTGAACAGAAAAAAAAAAAATTGAAGCAAGGGTGAGGTAAACAGCTCATATAAGCTCTTTTTGAGTTTCACATGTATGCCATACAAGTATGCCGCATATCCGTGATCGCTTCTTCTCAAATGTTAACTTCTTTGTAAACCTCACAAGTTAACGATTTGGGAAAAAATTGTGGCATGTCTTGATTGTCAGCACATGTTGTGGGCTCCGAATATTCGCACCCCGGCCTCCCCTCTTTTAAGAGAGTTTTAACGGATTAAGTTCCGATGTAAATTTTCAGAAGTCATATTAGATTTAAAATAAGACACTACCTAGAGATTTCGCCCTCATTTTGCGATGACTTTATGATCTGAGTTCTTGTTTCCTATGAGCGCAAACCCCTCTAGTTAATTACCCCTCTTGATAGTGAGAGAGAACTTTCGATTAAGGCTGTCGTCAATCATATACGTAAAAATAACTAGTATATGGTGTATAGTAGCAGCAAGTTTGGTATTGTTGAAATTTTAATATTTAAAATTGAAAATTTCACCATCTTGCACTTAAAGCGGATGGTGAGGGAAGTAATGATGGACACTATCAAGATCCCATGATTCTATTGTCCTAGGTCATCATGGTCCCTGGTCTACTAAGTCAGAAGAGGCAGTCGACCCAACCTGACAGAAGGATCTTTGTCGACAACCATGAGTTACTTTGTCCAAGGGCACCTTGTAGACTTGGGGTGAGTATTTGTCCAAGGGGGCAAATTTTAATCCATCTTAGCTAACAAAGGGCTTTGTGCCCTATCGATTCTATTCTATTGATTCATATCTCAAGGATTTGGCGACATTGGGGAACATACGGGTTGTGACCATGAACATAAGAGGGTCGGGCTTGAACTTAAGTTTATTTATTAACCCGTGCAACATCCTCAGACATTACGTGTGTGCATGTATCATGCTTGTCAAGGCCCATGCGGGCATTTAGGAGGCATTTTTATAATTATCTGTTAAACCTTGTCGACTCTATCTAATTGCTGACAGAGGAACGAGTTAGTTACCGACTTTAGCATTTATGAGTGAACTTTCTTGAGTATAAGCATTGATGGCTTAGAGGAGGATGCATTATTTATATTTATTTTATACCGCCAAACTACCTTAGCGCAACTGCACTAGCAAACTTTAACAATAATTTTATCTCCATCAACTTAGAAGGAAAAATTAACAATAAAATTTTTGCCAAAAGTTCATGATATTAAATTAAAATTTTTTAAACCACAATGGGGAAGGGTAACATGTAATCTTATTATTTATTGTCTAAGGATTTTGTTTTTTATTTAGATCATCAAACCCTTAAATATTTTAATTAAAAAAACTAGGATATTAGCATCTTAAATAAGTAGAATATCTGCAAGAATGCATTTTTGTGCTTAAATGTTGTATTAAGGTATTAAAAAAAAAGCTAGTTTAAGTATCATTAAAACAAAAACTAGCCTATGCGTTTCTTATTCTTTCTTATGATATTTTTTTATTTAAGAATTACATGTTCATGGTGTTTTAGGATATTTTATTGCAATGGAAAACATACCAAACAACTAAGGATTAAAGGATAAATTATTCATGGCCAAAAAAAAAAAAAAAATTTACGAAGTTTAAGAAAAGATGTAGTAGATATTTTATTGCAATGGAAAACTTACCAAACAACTAAGGATTAAAGAAATGATAGCTGTCTATAAATTTCCCTAAATATTCCTTCTAAGCCTTACGGACATGTTAGTATGAATTTCTACTAAGATTACAACAAAGTTATAAGAAACATAATTCTATCTATATGGTTGTGGATTATTTTTTTCAAAATGACACATTTTATTCATAGCAATGCAACAAATACATCACATATAAATAAATTATATTTTTAATGAACTTTTTAAAAGACATGAGCTAAGCTAATTCAAACAATCACATCTTATAGAAACTTAAAACTTATAAGCTTTTTTTTTTAATTATGAAACTTATTTAAACCCAGCTAAAACTTTCAGCTACTTATCACCCACAACCATAAGCACAAACTAAACTAAATAGTCATAGCCAAGGTGAAATACTAATAACAATGCAACAATATATAGCATGTAGCTAAATTATATTTTCAAAGAAGTTGTTATAGAATGTGTTAATTAAAACAATCATATCTGATAGAAAAATAAATTTATGAGCCTTTTTTATAAGTCTATACAAAAATAAATTCAACTAAAAATTGCAACTACTTACCACCCGCAAACAAAAACACAAACTAAACTAGTTAATCAAAGCCTAGGTGATATAATGATGTTTAATAAGTGAACATCCATCTAGTTGGAAATATATATTAGATATGATTATGTTTACAAACAATTAAAATTGTAATCATTCTACAAGCATGAGATCTTTTGAGATAGTTAATAGATTTCAATATAACCAACATATTTAATTGATTTATCTATTGAATCTATACCCAGTGAATTTAAATAATCACTCGCATGACAAATATTTGATTTAAATGAAAGCATTCACAAGAAGACATTTATTAACTATGATAATTATAAGTCAATATGTGACTAGAAAATATATGAAATTTAAATAAGGAGATAAAGATCAAGGTGCGTTAAAGTTCATATGGGTTCCTTTCAAGAACCCCCTTAGAATTCACAGTTAGAAAATATAGTATCGCATTAATCTATACAACAAATTAGGATGAATGGATATATGATAAAAATCCTTAAACTTTTAGTATTAGACTGCTTATTAATTTATATATTTAAACTTTATATAATTACCCATCAACTAATGCCTTTCAATCTTTTTTTCAATCCTTCTAGTTTCAAATCCAACATATCATCCACACAACTTTTAGATGGTCATGCTAATCTTGTGCCTAAAGCTATAATTGATGATGAAACTATGCTCATTATTAATGGCAAATATCATAGATATTGCAATGGCAATATATGTCAAATGAGATTATTCAAAGATATATCTATAGGAAGTTCAACAATCATTCCCAAATTTACATGACGAATATTAACTAACTAATCTGTTGAATCAAAATTTTCTCCAAGAGGGGGAAAATTGAGATGAGTCTCAATGTTTACAGATGTCAAAAATGAAAAATATATATGATATAAAAATGAATTTGAAATTTAAAATTTTAAAATAGAATTTAAATTTTTGTATTGTTTTTTTTTTATTTGGTATTTTATATTTTAACTTTTAGAAGTAATCAGTAAGAGGTGAGCCAATGGAGTATATAATTACATGTATGCGGGGCTATCTTACTCCCAAGGTTGCAGTGTTTTTATTAGTATCATAGCTAATAGTGGCTATGGGGCCTTACGTCTAGCCACTTGATCTCTGCCTAGTTTGATTTGCATTATTTTTTATTGTTGCAGCTCACATATTAGATTCCCTATTTTGTGGCTACTGTATTACTTTATTTGGAGGCTCCTCATATGGTTGCCATAGCTAGTTACTTGGTCCTGCAGTTGCTTCAACTTTTGTGGGTTATCTATTCATATGGTTGTTTTTTGGGTGGGTCATGAAGCTCCAAGACCATAGAAAAAATCAGCGGTTTTAGCTGTAGCAATGATTCCTCTAATTTGAAGCAACAGTAGTGGATGAATTTTTTTATGCATTAAGTTTGATGATTTTTTTAATTATGATTAGGTATTTAAAAAATATTATAAATTGTGGTATATAAGCCATACACAAAAAAAAAAGAATTTATAGTAAAATAAAATAAATTGATGTATGAGATTTGAAAATTTCAGATGATTATTTTTTTTATAAGAGTAGGTCTTATTTCTATGGTAACTTCTTCCTATTTCTTATTTTATTCCTCTCTTCTTCTGATCGTTTTTTTTGTTATTGGATGAAAGAGTGCTTGAATTTTGTTAAGTTTCTTTTTTTTTTTTGCTTTTTGTGTGAAAGGTCAATTGCTTGTTTTTTGCTACCAACCTTTCTTGTCAATAATTTTGAGTGCATGATAATAAATCTTTTATCATAATTGAATTTTATTGTTTTTAAGATGTTGACCCATATACATCATAACACGCGAGAAAGGACTCAAACTGATAAATATGGGAGGGGTAATTAACTATAGGGGCTTGCGCCTATAGGAAACCAGAACTCAGATCATAAAGTCCTCGCAAAATGAGGGCGAAATCTCTGGGTAGTGTCTTATCTACAAACCCATCTGCCTTCCAAAATTTACCTCGGAACTTAGTTCGTTAAAACTCCCTTGCCGAATAAGAAAAAGCGAGCGGAGGCCGGGGCCGAATTTTCGGAGCCCACATAAGACTGCATTGAAAATGGAAAATAGTTGTTAAATCCTGTGAAAAATGCATGTTTGTCTCAGTTTTTTATTGCATCCAGAACTACATTGCTTGCTAGATCTACATTAAAAGTCCTAAATCCTAAAATGTCTAACATCAACAAGACTTTGACATGAACATCTTTAAAATCAGCCTAAGCAAGGCTAATCCAAGTCTCCTGGTCAATAGTTTGACAATAAAGCACAAAAAAATATCAATTCATGATTTGAAACAAGCAATACCCACAAATGACAGCTTAAAAGTTCAAAAAATATTATTAGATTATAATGAGAAAAAAATTTAAAATATAGCATTCCCATTTTAAGTCTATTGCATATACAGTGAAGCATCAAATTCATAAATAAAAGGGATATGATTGACGACAAAATCAAAATTACCATAGTGAATCATCAATTATTAAGACTATTCAAATGAATCTCAAAAAATCAATATAAACAAAACCAAGAAAACCTATATTCACGTAGATCCATATAACATTTACTGAAAGAACCACTTACCAAGGTGCAAAGAATTCTACAATCCACAAGTCCTTACTCTTAATTACTTCAGTATCAAAATTTTGAGATGTCAATTCGATTGATGCACTTGGTTCAGATTTTTCACTTGAACCACCAGTCGACTTCCCATTTAACCGCTCCTTAAGGAGAGCCTTAACCTGTACATTAAAAAAGCATCTCAACTTTTACAAGAACATATTAATAACATTAAAAGATGTATATTGTGAGTAGAGGATCAACTACATCCGTAAGCACCATGAATAATCAATACATACTTTTAAGCAAAAATATGAATTCACAATCGCAAGCAGATCTATTCCAAGATTAATCTTCTCAATAAATACTTTGAAGAAACTGCCACAATCATTTCAGATACATGCCCATAGTTTTGCCTCAGGGCCATCAAAGGCATGTTAAAAGAAACACTTTTAGTCAGGGAAATTTTTTAAGACTGTTTTTTCTCCTATTTTCCAAATAAATGATAAGTGAAGTGATTCCCCATTCAACCACTTCAACACACTTGATCAACTTTTCCACCCATTGATAGTTCTATTATCTACAGATGATTCTCACTCAATCCCCTTTCCCATGCGATTCAAATATTCCAAAGCATATCAAAGGAGCCAAACATATTCCCAACTTTTCCTTATCCCTCAATTGAATATTAAACAATCATAGACTAGAAATGAAAACCCTTTTCCTGTCTTTATTATCCACTGCATTGTTGTAAAAATACAAAATTATACAATTCTAAATCGCTGAAAGATAATAAAATCTCTTAATTGAATTTTTATCTAAAATGTAGCCTGAAAAAGAAAATAACAAATAGCAATTTATCTATGGAAGAGGCATTCAAAAGTATAATTTCCAATCAAATGAGAGATGATTTAAATGATAATGGAAATTAACTATACACCAAAAACAATGAAATGAAAAAATATCATTAAAACAATGAATTGCAACAAACCTGTTGAAGAGCAAATTCTGCAATAGGTTTAACATCCCTTGCTCCTTGGTAATCTACTGGAGGCTTACCAGGTGCAAATACCTTTATAGTAGGAAATCCTCTAATTCCATATTCCTATATAAATAAAAGGAGATCTCTGAATTATATATTTATCTCCATAAATGAAAGATACACAACTTGCAAAAAAACAGCTTAATTCAGTTTAATGCATTGAGTATAATTTATCCAAGCTAGCAATAGCATCTGCTTTCATAGAATAAAATTTAAAATAAAATAATAATAATAATAATAAGAAAGCCTGCAGAAGACAATTTCCTCGGTTTCGGTATCACAGCGAGCAAGCTCAACCTACTAGATGTTATGAATTATCAGTAAGACTCCAATTAAGAAAATATACACACAAAAAAGAGAGTTTGAAAGTTGCTCCCAGTTATTAGCAATAATGAACAGACTCTTATATTATTTTACTTTTTTCTGCCATTACTTAGTCTATATAAGCAACCACTGTAATACGTTTTAGAGATGAAATACAATGCTTTCTCTTTCTCTGTGTTAGCCTGTTTCGGTTTCCTCCTCTCTTCTTTCCTCTTCTTGAAGCTTTCTCTCACCAGTACAGCAGTAGCTCAGTGGTTCAGATTTTTAATAATCAAACAGAAAACAGGTACCAGAAAAGGAAAAAAAATCTAGTTGTGCCAAGCGATCGAACAAATTAAACATGATTTAATGATGTCCCGCATCTGACTGTTAAGAAAATGGACCAACAAGCACCAGATTACCGACTCAACGGCTAGAGAAAATCCAATACTTTCTGTAGCGAAACAATGAAAACCACAAAGCTTTTTAGATTGAAGAAGAACCTGGGCAAGAGATTTGTGGGCATCCGCATCCAGCGCAGCAACGGTGGCAACGCCTTTTAGTACGGTGGCGGCCTTTTCCCATATGGGCGTCAAGGCCTGGCAGTGCCCGCACCACGGCGCGAAGAACTCCACCAAAACAATACCATTTGAGTTCAAAACCTGGTATATGCACGAGCTAAAGGGAATCAGCGGAGCATCGACCACTAAAGAGAGATAAAGAGAGGGCGAGAGAGAGAGAGAAGAAGACCTTGGATTTGAAGTTGGAAGGATTCAATTGGAGCACGGGGGAAGAGGCAGAGTAGAGGGCGCCGGCCGGGAAGCCGAAACAGCCGAGCAATAGGAGGAAAGCGACGACAGCCGTCCGCATTTCTTCTTAGGGGTTTCGTTTTCTTCCGCTTCGTTTCCTCGCAGAACTCACCAATGCAGCCTCGAGAGCTAGCCAAGTAATAAAATAGAAGGGGACACGTGTGCCGACCAGTCAGGTTTTGACACGTCATGTTGCATGGTAAATCAGACGCCCTGCTGGCAGGAAGCTTTACTGTAAATACTTCATGGTTCTGATTTTTTTTTATCCATATCTATTAAACATTTTTTTTATTATTATTATTTTAATCATTGGTAAATAAATAAATTTTTGAAATATAAGTAATTAAAATTATTAATTATAATT